CAGTTTTTAGGGTTCTGTATCCAAAGGGTAAAACAGGACAGGACCCTATTCTGTATATCTGTTTACAGTTGATGTATTTCTGTTGCCGTCAAAACAACAAATACTAAAAAACAGAATAAAAATTTTTAAGTGGGACTCCCATAGAACAGAAATGACTTTTTTGCTGTTTTTATAGATAATGGTACGGAACTTCATGTGCGAGTCCAACTTGGACTTGGCTAGTTTTAAATGTATACTTTTCAAATTGTCGGACAATTCGTATAATTTTCACTACTCCCAGAGTTGACTGGCAGAGAATGCTTCTTAGCATTAAGTTTGCCTTTTGTTTGACCTTATGTAAACAATAAATTTTTAAATAAATAAATGAATAAAAATAATATGTGTATAATAATTTTCAATTTCAATTTTAATTAAAAAGTTACTATAAAAAAGTTTATTAAAAGAATAGTTGGATAAGCTACTTCATGGCATTTTGGTACCTATAATTATGTCGGAATAGCCCTCACGAGTGGGCTTAGTAAGGCCGAACAATTTAATGACGATTGACTATTCATAGCACATTCGAGCGGCTTATCGCTTCGCTACTCCTGATTTAAAGTCTAATTATTCTGAGAGCTCAGCCGTGACGGCCGAGGCCGGGGATAGTAATGAGAGAGACGGGTGAATCGGAAATAGGACAATATCATATATAAAATCCGTTGCAAAAATTCACAGTTAAGTTCCGATTTCAATATCAAATTGATATATATTCAGATGAAATGGCAACCGTATAAGCCAAAGGTTAACTGTAAAACAGCCAGCCAAGCTTTATCTGCATATTGAGATTCGAATATAAATTACACTGATCGACTTCCTTGCAATTTTTACCTGAATTTATAGTGCGGTCAAAACATCCGGACGTCTACCGTTGAATTCCTCGTTACTCGTAAAATATCTTGCGGGAATATTCGGCGCTCTTCCGTTGACGTTTAATTTCTTGCGGCAATTTATCAAGTTGCAACAGATACGTGTCTAAGATTTCCGGATACGTTCGTAACAATAGTTGGATATCCGCGAGATTGTCGAGTAAGCGAACATGTCCAAGCAGTATTAGCTGAATTATCATTTTGATATTTCAATAGCTTTAAAATTCTAGAACCGTTCGGACTGTCGACGGAAGAATTTTTTAAAATAAATATTTTTTATTCTTTCATTAAATACACCGTAGAATTTCAGATACTGTGACATTTTATACGTGTCATTTTAATATGTACATTTCCTTAATTAAAAGCCTAAAAGTCACAATCTGCAAGTTTCTAACCACAAACGCTGATTGTATTGCTATTTTTCAACTAAAATTAAAATAAGAGTGTATAGTCTGATGACTCCGTGGCGTCCTTACAACACAGGATAATATCCTAAAGTAAGGGCAGTGTTTAAAGAAAAGCGTAATTGTTTAATGTAGTAAAAAAGGAAAATAATAAGCATAACTATTCAGCGAGGAAATGCAGCTAGCGTTCTTGGCACCATGCCGCGTGGATTAGGTTTATTAGATAATATGTAATTTTAGATAGATTTAATCTTGTAAATATTGGATTATAAAGTATATTATATGTTTTGTTGATGACAAAAGGAAAATTCTCTGAACATCTGTATACGTGGAATAAAAAAAAGCTGTACTAAAATTTTAGGCGAGTCTGTTACAATTCGGTATTTTAATCGGATATCCTCTGTACAACTGAACCCAGGAGTTCCATGGTGTTTGATTTTTTAATAATATATTTTAATTTTCGGACCTAAGTGTACAATATTCGAAATAGCTGATTCGCATAATAATAACATAATTTGTGCTAGTTTCTAGTGACGGGAATAACATCACGTGGGCAAGAATTTCTTTCATAATTTTATACGTATCTATTATTATAATAAGTCTATTAATATGAGTACTTGTCATTAGAGATGCTGTGATGTTCTCGTAATAAAAGTTTTTTTTATTTTAGATTGTCCGAGCTCACATCTGAGCCGTTTTTAACATATTTATGAAAACTATGTTTGACATTCTATTTTTTTTTATGTGACAGTGGCAAACGAGTTGGCGGGTCACCTGGTATTAAGTGATAACCGCCGCCTATGGACATTTGCAACACGCGTAGGGTTGCAGATGCGTTGCCACCTTTTAATAAAGTGGGCCCCGGCTATCTCACTCACCAGACGAAATGCAGATGTGCAAAACTTCTACTACACGCTGGTCTTCTGTGAGGTCGTGGTACTTACTCGGACCAACCTGCCCATTCTTGCAACAGCGAACACTGTTGCGTGGCTCTACCACAGTTATATGACTTGCGAGCTGGCGGCTTACTTTTTATTAAGTGATAATCGCCGCCCTAAGACATCTGCAATAACCGTAGGTTTACGAGTACGTAACTAACTTTAAACAAAGTTACCCCACTCACCAGATGAAATGCGGGAGTATATCACATCCACTTCACGCCAGTCTTCTGAGAGGTCGTGGTACTTACACGGACGAGCCTACCCATCGTGCAACAACAAAAACTACTGCTTGGCCCTAACAGTTTTAAAGCAGAAATTTTTTAAGATAAAGTCGCATAGAACCCGCATTCTGCCTAAGTAGATATATTTATACTTATGCATTTCCTCCGCTGAGTACCATAACAAGCCGAGTCAACTATCTAAAAAGTCGACGCAAAATGCAACCTGCTATATTATATTACGAAGTAAATGGTAGTACCCAAAGGATACTGTTAAAGTCAACTAAATCAGCAGTGGCGGACTTGCCCTAAGGCCCAATAGGCCCAGGCCACATATTAGGGGCGGCCAATCGTGACAAAAAATTGACTGATGATAACAGGATACATATATCATCCCATCATAATGGACGCTGAGAAAGGGGCGGCTGGACTTACTAAATGGGCTTCTTCATGCTCTATGCCAAATAAGCCCATAGATCGCATTATTTTTTGTCAATTTTAGTCAACGCTATAACCGAATATTCGTATCATAAAATTATTGACGTACAAAAAAGATGTTCTCTTACAAAAACAAGTAGAAAAAGAGTCTTTTAATTTTTGTTATGCTCCAAACAGCTTGTCCTTAAACAAAATCTTGCCTTTATCTCAATCGGAATTGTTCCATATCTTCAAATTGAAGCTAGAATAAAATTGAAACTTAAAAATTGTAATATAAAGGTTTTTATTAAATAAATACTTATCCACTCTACATAATATAACATCTTTAGTTTTTCACAAATGGAATGTGGTTGCTAGCATCCTACAAGTCGCTTCATAGGTTGAAAAATGCTGTGGTATAATGAATTTAAGTATAGCAATTCATCGAAAGTCGATATAACTATTTTAAATATGCCTCGTAAGCGACTGACGATTTATATTTTCACAAAATTTTATTAAACTAACTGAATTTCCTTAATATAAAGTATAATCTGAATAATATAATATAACAATATTTAAGTAACCTATAAGATAATGGGTAAGAAATCCCTATCTTTCCGTTAGATTTCATGTATTTTAAAGAGAAATATTATTGCAAAAATCCTTATACTCTGGAAGATGTCATAGCTATCCTAGACTGAACTGTAACTTGATATTGCAATAATTATATTAAACTTCACACTCAAACGACAATATACAAAATTAATCATGCAAACATTAAAACGTTTTAGTAAAAACTAGCGGGGAAACATTTATTTTGGTGATGCTAACAATTGATAACAAATTTAGTACAACAAAATATCTTATACTGTTTGTTTGAAAACTATTGAACAATATAATAAGAACTAATGATATGTTATAGGAAAATTTTGAAGAACCTTTTATTGCTTTGTATTTTGTCACAATAAATATTTCTGATGTATACTAATATATGTATACGATGTAAATATATTTTTAAAGTGGAATTTTAATGTAATTTGATCTTTTAAAATATGTCGCAACGAATAATTGTGAGCATACGCTCTTATGTTTTATGTCGATCGCATTCAAAACAAAAACCTTAATCGTCACATTAACTTCATGATTTTTATTATTTAAGTTACATACATTATTATGTGTAAGAAATTTTCGTTTCAGTTTCGAATACCTTCTATGATAATTAAATGTCAAAAATAGCATCAGGGTAGTGTTAGTGTTGTACCACTAAAAAAAACTAACTTGCCGTTGCAAAACAAAAAGGATGCAAGGCATTATTAAACACAACTGATTTCATCGTAATTATATTAATTCACGTGTATAAGTAGTTAAAACACACTTTAATAACATTAAATTTGACATAACATTGTCGAATAAAGCGATCCAAACTTAATTCATACAATTGACTACTTATTTAAAAATGCAACATCAATTTCAACAACACAAGGCACTAACCTTTCAATGTATTTATTTCGTCGATAACAAGACAAAAGAATATTCGTAGATGAATTTTGACTCGCCACATAAATATTCTAAAAAATACGATGAAGTGAAATATACGTAAATAGTTACTTTAAACCTATTTTTATACAAGCCAACTAATAAATTTGTATGTTCATTAACGTGAGAAGACATTTTCTTAATAACAACACAATGTATATACGATGTAGACAATATTTTAGTTCTAAAATCTAAAACTCCTTCATGAAACTGGAAGTTAAAGGTGCAAAATTACAATAATACTTTGTTTTGTCGTAGATAATTCAATTCTGAATCAGAATAATAAATAGCATTATTAACAGGCACATCTTCAATGAGAAATGCTGCCATAAACATTTTTCTTTAATATACAATTATGTATGTATAAATTCGTTTAATATAATTAATTCAAAGTTTCTATATGAATGTGACTATGCTAAACATTTCAATCGATAAATATACGCTCTTAATTATATGATGAAATAAATTTATAGAAATTTTTATGAAGGTAATTTTTTACGACTTTTAATACTGCACGATTTCAATATTTCTGTTCGATTCGAGGCTATTTACAAATTTTACTAGCTAAGAACACATTCATAGATTAACAGTTTTCTTCGGCACAGTGACTCGGGACGAATTCGAGTAAATCTTCTTGAACAGATCTTGAAAATTGTTGTCGGGAAACAGATTAATGAGAATCGCTGGAACAAACAATATGAAATTACAGTAAGCGAAAAAGTGAGTCGACCTATTACAAGGAATATTATACTCTTATATTCAACTGTCTAACTATCAAGGTTCATGAGATACAGCCTGGTGACAGACAGACAGCGGAGTCTTAGTAATAGGGTCGCGTGTAACCCTTTGGGTACGGAACCCTAAAAATACCAACGATGGCAGCTCCTGTCGATCAATTGCTCCATAGCCCCCAGTTACCTACCTTCCAACAAGACGAATATCAGCCGCCTGTTTATCTCCTGCGTTTGCAGCATGTCGAAGACGGTCAGTAGACCTCTCCGAGCGGCGTCCGTGCCAACTATGTGCCTCAAATCATCTGAAAAATGCACATAGGCATTGTAATTGATTGCATTAAATTTTGTAATTTATTTCATTTATTGCGTAAAATTAGATTAAGGAAGGAATAAATTATAAATTCATAAAATTAGTTCCGTTTAGATACAGGCAGTTACATCTTTTCGTATAAGTGATGCGGTAGATGAGAGATTGATGAATTATTAAACGAAAAGAAATTATAGCAAGGAATTGTTTACAAGATGTTGTTAGTTGTCATATTCATGGTATATTTGGAAAAAGCATTTGATGCTGAAGATTGTTAACAGTTTTAGCTAGCTAGATCATAGTAAATTTAGTCTAAGAAATCATTAAAATCGATTAATTTTTTTTGCAAAATGCAATTTGATTACTGAAGAGACATACAAACAATTAAGGAAATGGAAGAGGTAATTTACATAGTATGAGAATCCAAAAGTACCTAAAAGTCTAAAAACATCAAGATATCGATGAACGTCTCTATTAAAGCTGTAGAAATGGCAGAAAGATTGAACATTTTAATATAACTAAGTCACTTATTTGCGGTATAAGCCGCGATAAAACTTGTTAATTTTATCACATTGTATAAGATATTCAAGTAAATAATTAATATAAAAAAAATATAGCCGTTTGAATATCACATTTAATTTTTTTTTTTTATTAAATCTAAAGATTTCAGTGCGAGCTGGCAACATCGCTCACCGGAAGCGGCTGACAGTAGAGCCACTTTGGCGGCAACTCGCGTCCTGGCCTTCGTGGCGTTGTCTCGATTCGTCTGCTTGGAGCCGTTGCGACTCGTCAGCCACTGCCTGCGACAGTTCCATCCAATTAATCTGAGTAAAAAAATGTATCAGCCTTCTTCACTACTGGAAAGACATTGTGTGACGAACGTAGGGTTTTTCTAGTGTCTGGCTGTTATGTGTAATATGCATTTATTTAAAGAAGAAAAGTACGTTTAAGTAACAGTTACCTAGTACCCATGGCACAAGCTTTGCTTAGTTTGGGACTAGATAACGTTGTGAAAAAGTATGTCCCGAAATATTTATTTATGTCCCACTGCTGGGCAAGCGACTCCTCTGTACAGAGGGTTAATACCCACTAGTACACAGTACAGGGGAGGCGATTGCACACACCGCGGATTGGCAGACCCTTTTGAATATATCACTGTCTCCTAAAAATCGAAAGGTTTTGCCTTGATAAACCATTTTATCTTCATGATATAGTTCGCGATGGCACTTAAAATTGCAATTAACAATTTAATTGGTGCCAACACCAATCGGGTTGCTCGGGTGTGTTGGATTAAAAGCGAGAGCTTGGACACTGATACATCACGGCTGTTGATTTTTAATCATTGTTGTTTATAAGTAATTACATCTAAAAGTACAGTTACCCCTAAAGTAGTCGCTAAGCTATTTTTTACTTACGATTTTACTGTAGCTCCTCTTACGCAGGAAACGACTTCGACGCGTTTTGGTTTGTTAAAACTATTATATATATTTACAAAGTGAACAGTAAAAAAATTCCATTTAAAGTATCACGAATCCATTTTTATTTGTACTCACTTAAAATTTTTCAAGTACTGAACTACGTTCCTGGGAGACGTTAGCGAGGAAACCAGCTCCAACACTTTTCTGCGAATAATGAAACATAATTATATCACTCGATTAAACTCTCACATAAATAAATAAATAAATAAATAAATAAATAAATAAATAAATAAGAAATAAATATTTTAGGACAAATCTTTACGTTCTCTAGTCCCAACCTAAGCGACGATTGCAAATGTATAGATCATCATTCATCATCACCCTCCTGCCCTCATTCCACCTAGATGGGGTCGGCACATGTGAATCATGTTTTCTTTTTTTTTTTTTTTTATAAAAAACATTGCCCTTACTTTAGGATAACATTATCCTGTGTTGTAGGGACGTTTTACAAACAAATTTCACGCGGACAAACACCTAGATGAGAAACAACTATCTGTGGGTCACACAATAGTTGTCCCGTGTGGGAATCGAAGCCACGACCCCCGACGCCGAAGCCAATACCTTGGCCACTGCGCCACGGCCGTTTAGCTTAGAGGTCAATGCGCCTAGACCCCAATCCGGAAGATGTGGGTTCGACTCCTGCAGAAGCAGCGGCGAAGAACTTTTCGTCCATTTTTTCTACAACAAAATATAATCAAAATCTTGAGTGCGAAGAATAGTACTTAATAAGCGCGGCTTTCTTCCCAAAGCGGCGAAAAACTTTTTTCATCTACTTTTAGGGTTCCGTACTCAAAGGGTAAAACGGGACCCTATTAAAAAGGACTCCGCTGTCTGTCGCCTGTCCGTCTGTCACCAAGCTGTATCTCGTGAACAGTTGAAAAATTTAACAGATGATGTATTTCTGTTTCAGCTATAACAAATACTAAAAAAAAAATATTTAAGCGGGGCTCCCATACAACAGACGTGACTTTTCCCTTCGCGCGGCAGTCCGACTCGCACTTGGCCGCGTTTATCTACAAATCCCAAGGGACACTCACTTGTTCACCCTGTCCGCTATCAAGGTCCGAACGGGCGCGAGGAGACGTCTCCTGAGCCATAGACCTCGTATTCCGAGGACCTCCTCCAGCAACCGCAGAGCGACACTCTCGTCGCCGTCCTGAAAACGTGAACTACGCTGCGGGATTCTCGCCCTTGTTACCAAGGCCAGATGTAGCATATTTGTATAAGCATGAGTACCTACTGAGGCCTCAAACCCGTGGGTACCGGCCAGCCCACCGGGTCTGCATTCGATGAAGCAAGTCTAAGGACTGGAAGCGTAACATCAGTTATACAAATAAAAATACAAAAAATTGTATAAGCCTCCAGCATATGATTATAAGGTGACGCTAATTAAAGTATTTTTGAAAGCTACAAAAAGTACAATGCAGTTAAAAATAAATAAAATTTCATTGATAAAGTAAAAAATAAACAAAGAGTTAATTACTTATTTATTTTTGTATATGTATTAATTTATTTCTCATCAGTTTTGAAGCCGCAAAATAAACATTGTTCAATTCAACTGTAGTATTATAGTATAAAATATGTTATTATTGCTATTGTTTAACCGTGTTATGCCACGCAACAGTTAACGCTGTTGCACGAATGGGCAGCTCCGTCCGGGTGAGTACCGCGACCGCACAGAAGAGCGGCGCGAAGTGGTATTGTTAAACCTCCGCAATTCCTCTGGTAAATGAGGTAGCCGGGACCCAATTTAGTAAAAGGTGGCAACGCGTCCGCAACCCTACGGGTGTTGCAAATGTCCGTGGGCGGTGGTTATCACTTGACATCGGGTGAGCCGCCAGCTCGTCTGCCACCTTCTCACACAAAACGTCACGTCCATACCTACTAATACAACCAATTTAAACACAAGTTTTAGACACGAAACATACTAACGTCTTGGCCGTCGGATGAGTTTCCACTTTTAACAGCGTCGTAGTGGTTTTCGCCGCTCTTCCCTTGAAACACCTTGGAAATGCCTGCACAATACATAATGGTACAATTATCATTTATGAATCATTAATCCAAATGTACAATATGCGATTTAATGAGTCAATAAAATTTTAATTTCGCCTTTTTTTTTAATCTCACTTTTTTTTTAATCTCACTACTTTCTCCCGCCCTTATGTGACATGATGTAATGAAACATTAAAGTTTGTAGAAAAAAGTGCGAAAAGTTTTTCCCCGAAGAAGTTTTTCCCAGGTTTTTCCCCGGGAGTCGAACTCCCCCCTCGCCTTCGGGATAACCATTAAGCTAAACGGCTGATTTCCGTTGAAAATCTCAACGTCTTTTATCTACTTTGTTTTTTCGCATTCCAAGCAATGCTTGGAATGCGAGAAAACAATTGCCATATCTCTTACAGCATACAAACAATTTGTGTAATGATGTAATGATATTGGCAAGTTTTTTTTACGACCAGCCGCTAGCCTGACGTCAATCCTCTTTGGGAATAAACACCAAGTTCCGGAACAATTATTATATAATTAGGATCAGACAAATACTTGTACCTCGTGGGATTTCGTATACATTCATAATGTATTTTGAATGTATACGAAAAGGGATTTTGAAAAGATCGTCAATTCGAGAAATTCGTTATATTGAGGCTCGTTATAATACGATAACACTTTATTCGTATTACTATATTAATTCAAGTCTCTCCTCGCAGCTTAATTGATTGAACATCGGGTCGATAGGCCCAAAGCGAATTTGCAGAATCAGTTTATAAATGACGGCGTTTCGAGGTGACAAACGTAGAATAAATACAACCAAATCGAGGACCTTCTTTGAAGCCAGTTAAAAAAAATTTAATGATTTAAAAAAAAAGTATTCTCGTATCGAAATTCGAAAAGGGTTACGTCACCATCCATCACACCGTCGACGGTGTTCACAAACTGGTCGGGCATATTCTTCAGGGTCCTCATACCAGCGCGTAGAGAGTTCACGAAGAGCGCGTCGATCTGTTGTAAACATTGAGTTACTTATCCCACGTTTTACCCGACTGCGTAAGGAGGGTAATGTTTTTAGAGCGTGTCTAAGTTTAATTAATTCAGCTCACTCTTTAGCCTAATCCTTTTGAGGGGTTTTAACATGCAAGGTTACGATTACAGTCGTAGAAATAGATAATTGATCAAAACCATCATCGACCAAAATATGTAAATAGTCTTTTGTTTTTTTACTAAGAACTTAAGGGTTATAACCGGTATGTCAAACGTCTTATTTTTTTTATCAATATAGGATTATATTAGGATCTTATTGAATGTCAGAATTGGAGAGGCGTATGCCCAACGGTGGGCGAACACACGCTGAAGAAGAAGAAAAAGAATGTCAAAAAACTACCAAGACCTCACAGAAGACTCTCTACTCCCAGGGTTGACTGGAAGAGAATGCTTATTAGCATTAAGTTTGCCTTTTGTTTAGCCTTAAGTTGAGGTGTAAACAATAAATTTTAAATAAATAAATAAATAAATAAGACCGGCGTGAAGTGAAAGTGTTATACATCTGCGTTCCGTTTGGTGAGGGTGGTAGCCGGGGCCTACTTTATTAAAAGTCGGGCTGTTGCAAACGCCTATGGGCGGCTGTTATCACTTAACATCAGGTGAATCACCGACTCGCTTGCCATCGTCTCACATAAAAGGAACCACCGGTCCACCAAACTAGACCTGTCCACAGAGGAACCGACACGAAACTCCGCGGTCTTATTCATTTTTCGGCCGAAATCGAGCTGTTTTCCTTCGGACAAACACAAACAAACCGTATTCCCGTGGCGCTCCGTCTGTATCTCGGGGCTGAGGAAGCCGCCCAGGTAGTCCTGGGAGAGCAGCGCCATGTATCGCGCGTCCATCGCGATGCTCGTCAGGCTCTGCAGGTAGTTGTTCAGCATGCCCTTGCGGCCCTCCAGCACCGACCTGGATGTGTTCTGGAAGGCCTTCTTCGCGGGGAACGGCAGCTTCGCCAGCTCCGGCCACTGGGGGCGAGTGCGATTGCAATATACCGACAAAGCGACCGTTGCGATCGACGACCCGAACGGCGTTGTGGGTAGTATACTGCCTCCTGCGCCAGAGGGTGTGGGTTCGATCCCCAATACTGGAAAAATGTTGTGTGATGAACATAGTGTTTTTCTAGTGCCTGGGTGTTTATTATAAATGTATAATATGGTTTTATTTACAAAAGAAAAATATGTTTATCAGTTATCTAGTACCCATAGCACAAGCGTTGCTTAGATTGGGACTAGAGAATGTTGTGTAAAAATGTGTCCTAAAATATTTGTTCATTTATTATTTATAAAGCGAGACAGAGGCACTCAGTTTATTTATTTTTTCAGTGCATAAACACCTAGTCATCTAGTGCCGAACTAAGAACTAAGTTTGTGCTGCTGATACTTGGTGACTGATAGCATTTTCAACTATACATCATTGCAAATAATAGATAATACACCATAAAGCACTATTTTCGTCACGCAATATTCTTCTCGTAGTGGGGATCGAAGCCCACACCCTCTGACGCAAGACAAGTATCCACTAAGCTATTAGTTTAAGCTTTATACGAAATTTGTGGAAAAGTTGATCTCACTATTTCGTAGCGGTTCATACAATAAGTCATATGAAAATAACAAGTTTTACTTTACTTCAAAATTAATTAAAACAAATATTTCACTAATAGAACGGATAAAAAGAAGTAAAAAGTATTCAGTCTGTACCGTAAAGTAACACTTAAGTGACAATCGACATATTGCATTTACCGCGACGATATAAATGGAATTTGATGGTCACCATGTCGACGGTGACATTGCAACAATTTCGCGTCAAATTTGTCGACAAAATATTATGTAAAAGTAATGCTAAGTAAGTTTAAGTGAAAATAAATATTTTGATATCTATCAAGATCCAATATTCACCTTTTCTTTTATGGAGTTGTGCAAATCGTAGAAATCGCTGTACCGCCTATATATGTGCCAAACTTCGCTGTCGGATATACGAGTCACGGCGATGGCGTAAATCCCGAACGTACGTCCCTTGTCTTGAACGAGAGCTGTTAAGTTATTTACTAGTTTAGTACAAGTTAAATTAAGTTATATCACTCAACTGCGTGATCTAATACAATAACACTATTTGTAACGATATACGAATATTTAAGTTAAATCATGAAATGGTTAGCGGTTATGAAGATAAGCTCTTAAGTTAAATAGTATCTGATGCTGAGGAACAAAAATAAATATTTACAATTGTAAATGCAAAGGAACTGCAGGTATTAAGTCATATTTTTTTAATATCTGTAATTGAAAATCTATTGAGGTCATTAAAGAATTGTTGTTTCACATTTCTCAAAAACTGTCTTAAACTTGTTTATTTGATCTCGTTTTTTATATGTCTTGTTTATATGTCTTCTGTTTAAAACTTGTTTATTTGATTAAAATAAATCGTTTTCTACGCAGAATAGTAATGATACTATTCTCTTTTGCCGTACAAATATGAATTGTACGAAATTTTGTTTGTATCAAATTTTGTTCACTAAATACAAATGGATTGACTAAATCTTTCTATAAAACATCCGTAGAGATAGTACAGATTACACTATCACATTGTAATTAATTTTAGATCATGGTAATACTTTGAAATAACTAGATATATAAAAGTATTAAATAAAGAAATTTACACAACTACTTGCCAGTCTCAATGATGTACGCAGACAGAGGGGAGTAAACGTTCTTCGCCCTCTGTGTGATTTCCGAATGAGACATCGACAGGGCATTCGAGTAATTCGCAGATAGACTCGAAGGTCCTGCAATATATTCACGGTTTATATTAAAAAATAATTTATTGTAACGATATAATTCATAATTTCATTTCCTTTACTTCATTTGCTTTAATATCACACCCATCAAGCGAGCTGGCGGTTCATCTGATGTGAAGTGATAACCGCTCACCATTGACATTTACAACACCCGTGGCGTTGCAAATGTGTTGCCACATTTAATAAGCTAAGCCCCGGCTACCTCACTCACCAGACATAGGAGTACTAGATTTAACTTCCACTTGACACCGATTTTCTGTGAGGTCGTGGTACTCACATTCATACAACAGTTGCCGAAGACTGTTGCGTGGCCCTACACAATGAGCACAAATAAATGGTGTTTTGCCAAGAAAACTTTTGGACATACAAATATTACTCTCGGACGGAAATCGAATCCACCGCTGAATTATTCTTCTGTTTAATTTTTTTTATATCAACTGAGCCGTGATAGCTCAGTGTCCGGGCGCTCGCCTTTAATTCAATATACTCGAGCAACCTGAGTTCGATCCCCGGTGCCGGCACCAATGAAGTTTTTAACTTTAAGTGCTGACTTATCACGTGCTCCGTGGTGAAGGAAAACATCGTGAGGAAACCTGCATATTTTCGAAATAATAACAAAAAAAATATATTTCGAAAATATGTGAAGTCCGCCAATCCGCAGTGGGGCCGCGTGGTGGACTATGCCCTGATACCCTCTGTATAGAGGAGGCCTTTGCCCAGCAGTGGGACATGTATAGGCTGTTACTTTACTTTACTTTTTATATCAACTCAGCCTACAACCACTAAGCCTACGCCCTTGAGCAAGATATACATACAACACAATCGATTATTTATACTGATTCATACAAAACGAACACGAGTTTCTACCTACCAGCGCTTTCGTTGATCATTCTTTGGGCGATGTTTCCGACCACATCGGATCTTGAACGGTTGTGGCGAGAACTCGTTATTGGGATTCCGTCAGCTGAAATTTTTCAGTGTAGATTATTTTTTGTTTTAATATTATTGAACGATTTATAATGGAACGTGTGTGTATAAAGAGAAACAACGAGTTTGTACTGTGTTTTAAAACAAATAGATTCTACGGTACAGTGAGTGGAGTACGAGAGATTATTGCTCTAAATCAACAAGTGTTTTCAACAGATAGTCCTTCTCATTTTCTACGACTAATCTATCAAAACAACTTAAGACATTTTAACAGAATACCCAAATACCGTCTACGTATAAAAACAATATACCAATTTGATAAAATATACTCCTTCAATAGGTACATTTAGGGTCGTAATAGATCAATTAGTTCATAATTCATATATGACAACGTATAAATTTTATCAACACGACCTACGAATTCTATCAATTATACCAAAATCACGACACTTTGGTAGCGTGTGGTTTTTGTTAGAGGACCCCCGGCGGGCGAAACTTCTAGGGAAGGTGTTGCCCTTTACAGGGAGTTCCTGTTTCGACTTGGTCTTAAACAACTTTGGCAATTGCGTCAGGCATGTCTTCACTATTCTCTTGCATTTATCTGCAGGTGGGAGTTGATAACGTTACATCGTGTAAAAGCTCAAAAACGCCAAGGGGATAACTAAATAAAATGAACTTCGATAAGGGCAGATTTTTTGTATTTATAAATGAAAAATATATTTATGAGCGAAATAATATTTAGTTTAACGATTAATTCATGCCTTTTTTTACAATCAAAGAGGTTAAAACAGGGGTTAAAACTTTTAGTTTGAACAGGAAATAGGGGGAACGGGAAACAGGGGTTAAAACTTTTTCTTTTGTTACCCTAAAGAAGTATAACTTCTTACGTCCGTCCATAAGTACACACACGTAATTTTTTTTGCGATAGACGATACATGAGCAGAACCTGCTAGTCTAGTACACTTTCTAGTGCAATTAATAGAAATTCTAATGAAACTTCCTTACCTGCGTACTTCTTCGTGTCCGTCTTGTAATCCTTTCTAGTGACATCACTGAAAAACAACGTCTAATTTGAACACAGCAAGAACGTATTGTATGTATAAAGGAAGTGTGAAATTAATTTTACCTATTTCTTCCGTCGAATCCGTCTTGCTCGTTGTCCAACATAAAATCCGCCTGCCACGAAGGATCATCCTGAACGAGGAAAAATTTCTTACAATATGCACACAAAAGTGAGCAATTTTTAAATTAGATCTTAAAGTTTAATTATTCAAAATTATTAAATCAAACTTTAAAACTCCAATTGCATTCTTCTATTTTTTCTTGCCGACATCACATTTTAATCCCTACTTCTTCCCGATATCACACACACAACTGATATGAACCTTATATTATGTAAATATCTCCGTCTACAGGTTTAGGCCGTAGAGCGTGCCGAAGGGTTAGACAGCATGCTACATACATACACTCGAATAGCATTAACCACCTTCGGCAGTCGGGTACAAATCCAGATACTTCATCAGTCCATTTCAATGAAAATCAATCAAAATAAATTTTATAAACAGCCAATATTTGTGACAAAGTACAATGGGTACCACGCAACCCAATATGTTGATAAAAACGTTAAAACTTTTTAAGCTAAACAACAAAGTAACAATGATACTGGTATAACTGTGGTAGGGCCGGAACGGACACAGAACACCGGCGTGAAATGAAAGTGTTAAGCTTTCGCGTTTCGTCTGGTGAGTGAGGTAACCAGTGATCACTTTTTTAAGTTATCATGCATCTGCCAGCCTTGGGGTGTTTCAGATGTCCATGGGCTGCGGTATTTACTCGCTTGCGAGTAGGCAACACACATAAAAAATCGGGCAAGTGCGAGTCGGACTCAAGCACGAAGGGTTCCGTACCATTATCTATAAAAACTGCAAAAAAGATAATTTAAAAAACCTATCACGGTTCACGAGATACACAACCTAGTAACAGGCGGACGGACAGACAGCGGAGTCTTAGTAATAGGGTCCTGTTTAACCCGGACACGGAACCCTAAAAACTAAGTGACTGTGTGGTAATACTTTCTGCACTTAATACGAAGCGCTAAGCAAATCTGTAGAACAATTTTCGTCGAAAATTTTTTCGACACTACGCTCAAATCCGAAAGACGTGGGTGGGTTAGAGCGCGGCGGCGAAAAACTTTTCATCCGTTTCTCCTACAAATTAAAAAAAAAATAAAAGGACACCAGACACCTCGAGAGCGTCGCAGACGCACTTCTGCACTTCGTCGAAGCAGCTCGCCGGGCCGTTGGCGAACTCCTCGCCCTCCGCCGTGATCTTCCTCACCAGGTCCGCGTGCCAGTGGGGGGGGGCGCCGGCCACGGGCGGCCTGCTCGGCCCCAGGTACAGGTCGCACAGCTCCAGGGCGGAGGAGCGCAGGCTGTCCAGCACCGCTTTCGAGCTGTGCGGCGTGTCTGGGCGGCGGCGAAAGCGACCGGTTACGTTTCATTGTGAGAAGGATGATAATAGAGACTTCAGCACACCATAGGTTGACCGGCAGAGTATGCCTAAAGGCATTAAGACCGCCTATTGTGTTCCGTATCAAAGGAAATGCAAAGACTAAATAAATTAATTAATAAGTATGATTTGTTATGCTCTTACAGCCTGATAGTTCAGTGTCGCTCGCTTTTAATTCAATACGCTCGAGTAACACGAGTTCGATCCGCGATGCCGGTAAAAATGAAATTGTTAATTTTAAGTTCTGACTTATCACGTGCTCAGCAGTGAAGAAGAATATATAGAATAAAGGACGAAAAGACTTTGTTCTTTTTCTAAAAAAAAATATTTCATATAGCAATATAATAATTCGAAATATTGCAAAACTTTGCATATTTGACATTGTTAGTACGCTGTAAAGGATATTCGCAACGCAAACACAAACGCAACTATTGTTGCGCCAAGCATTGCTATTGTGCTAAAATGGCTCTACTCGAATTCAGACATATCACTCACCGGTTTCGTTCAGCTCGATTTCGAGTAAGTACTGCGCATTGGATTTCCAAGCAGCTGTTGCTCTTATGAACTTCAAAGATCGCATCACCTCCTCAGGCACTTTGTCAGACGTGCTGCTATTGGTTGCACCTTGAAAAAAAAATACAAAAATCAAGACTTTCTGATCTCTTCAGTTGTGTTCCAAAACACGATGGCAGCGACACTGTTAATTTCGGCTTCGTAGAACGTTATCTCTGTCGCACCAAGAAATAACAGAGAGCCAGACAGAGTGTGACGGCGATAACGCTCAACGAAATTAGTTGATTGTCTCTACCTAACTACTAGGTACAGGCGCTTCCGTAGTATTTTTAATTAGGTAGTACCTACCATACTGTGAACGCGGTAAAGTCAAATGCCTTTGAATTTTTGTTCATCGGGTCGTACCATTTGAACATTTTGGTATCTTCAATGTTATAATATAGATGTGGGAAACCTAGTTCCATTCATAATACCAGTTTAAACACTAAAAAAACTTCATGACAAACAATTAGTAGAAAAAAAAAATGTATTGTAGGTTCAATATCTAATAAGGGTTCATCATTGATTATTTGTGTTCCTTGGTTGTTTAGGTGAACTTTTTTACGCAAAACAAGGCTGACGTGTCATTCACAACATCATACGAGAGTAGTTACAAATGTTACTCACTCAATTGTTAGTAAAACTAAACTAGCGCCTTGATAGCTCATTGTCCGGCCGCTCGCTTTTAATTCCATATACTCGAGTAACCAGAGTTCGTTACCCGGTACCGATAACAATGAAAATGTTAATTTTAATTGCTTATCACGTGCTCACCGTTGAAGGAAAACATCGTAATGAAACCCGTAAAAAAAGTAAAGTATCAGCCTATACATATCCCACTGCTGAGCAAAGGCCTCCTCTGTACAGATGGTATCAGGGCATAGTGGACTGTGTGATCTAGTTGGTCAATGGTCACAGCAAAGGTTTCCTCAACCTGAAAACCGTACGTTTTTGAAATAACAACGAAAAAGAAATATTTTCGAAGATATGTGAAGTCAGCCCATCCGCAGTGGGGTCGCGTGGTGGACTATGCCCTGATACCCTCTGTATAGAGAAAGCCTTTGTTCAGCAGTTAGACATATAAACGCTGTCTAGATTACTTTACTTTACTTTTCTTAGTAAAACTAGTGATGTGCCAAATCTTCCTTAGATGCGTTTGAGAAAACTAACTAACTTGACGAAGCTCCGCGCAAATATAGTTGATCTTAGATTACCTTCTTGTGGCCCCAAGGTGGCTCTTCGAGCTTGAATGATCCTCGTTAGATATTGCAGAGATGATAGCTTTTGCCTATCCTGCAGTTCCCACTCGCCGGCGCTGTCGCGAGAATGCTGGAATTATAAATCAATCTGACAGCCGCACTAAGATACGTGTTTTCTTTTATCAGTTCATTATTTTCCATCGTATTATGTTTTTATTGTTAATTTTTTAACCTTTTGTTTTTAATTTGCAAAAAAAATTAACGAAAGCTTTTCGCCGCCGCGGTCTAACCCACGTCTTCCGGGTTTGCGCGCAGTGTCGAACAACTTTTTGACAAACATTTTTCGACCAAAAAAATTATGAGAAATTTTAAGGGTTTAGTAGAAGTCCCAACGACTACTGCGCCCTATAGGATCTATTGTAATCTTCCTTTCGAAAACATTGCCCCTTACTGAATAACATTGCTTTGCAACCCAGATCCAAAACCATTATCTGTGGGTCACACAAATAGTTGTCTCGTGGGGTAATCGAATACACGACCCCCGGCGCCGAAGCCAATACCTTGGCACTTGCACCACGCTGTCATTCCCTTGTATACGTGATTAAGTTTAGCAATCTACAGACACCGAAACAGTTGGTAATTTTTTTTATTTTCATATAACTATGACAAGGTACTGGCATAATTATTTTCATTACACATAAATTTGAAAACTACACAAAGACGGATTTAAATTCCTGAAGTAAAAAATGCATATTGTTTCGTAAATTCGAAATAATGGATTTCTAAGACTAAGAAAGTTTAGAAGCAATTGTATGTTTAAGGCCTTACTAGTTTCTGTATATCCTTCTGAACTAGCTCCAATGTAGCGTCCAACTCTTCAGCATCTACGCAGCACCTTATAACCAGGAGAAAAAGCTCCGACGACAAACATGAATCCCGACAGCACTGAAGAAGAAATATATTAATGTCATTTTTCTTCTAGGCTCATTTTATTATGATTTCTTGATCACCCATAATTTATAAATGATTGATCAGTAATCAAAAAGTAAAAGTACGATTTCCAACCGCGTATTAAGGTAAGCCATCATTTCAAAATGTTCAATGATTAAACAGTTATAGTAATTAAGTTTCAATCTTTTGTTCGTGGGAGATATAAGTTATTACTTAATTTGCATATGTTCCAAAATAGAATTCTGCTATTACAATGATACTATGTATATAGAAAAGATAAAAAAAATTGATCACAACGTCTCACCATTTTAATTATAGTCCTATTTAAATTGTCAGGATCGCTGAGTAAATTAATCAAGGGTCGTAATACCACTGCTGACAATAAATCAATGAGTATTAACTTCAAAGCATGACACTTCCATGACTCCTCAGGTGCCACAAGATAAAGGACAGCCTCTGATATTTCACTGAGCAATGCTGAAACACACGGGTAATACTTATAGCATAGGACCTTAAATTTTTATCTTAAATTCAATTTATTATTTGAGACTGTCTCCAAAGAAATTATTCAACATTATGTGATGTTCATCATATATCTTAATAATTAATTTACCATATTCTTTCTCAGGATCCACACAAAATATGTCGCGACAAATTTGTTTATTTTCCATAGAACACTCCAAATCGAAAAATAAATCAGTTAAACTTGTACAACTGACATTTTCTGAGCTGCCATAGAATTTTGATTTCCCAAATGTTTGGGCATCTACAAAAATAATAAGCAATATGAGTTCAACATTAACAGTTGTACAGTACAGAACACATATACATCAAAAGCTAAATAAAATTTATTCATATTATTATCATTGACATTAAACTATCAAAACTCCAGCTTCAAACTACAATTAGTTATTAAGTAATAAGTCCTTGATAACATGGTAGTGTTTTGGCACAATACCAATTCAATTTACATTTCATACACTAATTCATGAATATTTATGAGTTAACTGTATGATAAGAAAAGCATTATTAATGATAGAATTTACTTTACTTTTTACTTTTAGACAATGGTCTCAAATATTTTTAAATGAATAAATCATGCTTGTACTCAGAATAAAGTAGTAATAACCTGGTGACCATGACAAGTCTGTTTCACTTTTGTTTCTTCTGTGTGTTTTCTTATCTTCCTGTTTTTTTGGACTGTGTCTCATGGTTCCATTAGACATCTCTTTGGCACTCAATAGCTGAACATGTTTTAACCTAACCCTAGACTGCTTAAATAATTTAAGGTGTGTCGTTATTTCTTCAGGAAATCTTGTAGCAAGTAAATAGATCCAGTCTACACTTTTGACTCTGAAATTATAAACTAGATGATTATATAAATAACAATTAATATATTTCTGTATTTTAAATTGTTCAGATATGATATTTAGTTTTATCCAAGAACCTATCCAAATACCAAGTGCGTACCTATTAGCAACATTTGCTCCAGTGGTTAATACTGTCCGTTTAATTGAATATGTTGTAAATTCCATATCATCAGTTATTACTTCATACCAAGGTGTGACATAATCGTTTATAATGATCATAATAATTTCGTTCAAAAACGAATCTACCGTTTCACTGCCAGTTATTCTGTTATCAAACTTTGGTATACAATTTTGTCTTTCAAAGAGATCCAAAACCTGAAATATTACTAAAAAATGTTAATTATGAATGCAACATCAACATTTGTGTTTAAAACAAAAACGAAAAATTAGCTTTACCTTTGAAGATTGAATGGTAAAATTTGTTGGTTGAAGAGGGTCATCTAAACAGTCTATATCCACAGAAAAAATTTTCATGCTATCATAATTCAAGTACAGAATAGTTGCAACCCTGTTACAAATAAACATCATAATATATGAAAACGTAGTCTATCAATACAGTATTGACCTCTATTTAGATATAAAATGAGTATATTTACCCAACAATAAATGAAACGACAAATGTAATCACAGTTAAATATATTCCAAAACCAAGTAGCGCTATAGCTATTACTGAAGCTAAGGCAAACCATCCGCCAATCCTTGGAGACATTGTTAAGTTAAATGTATTATTTCAAAACGAGCAAATAAAATACAAAAAGTGAAATGAACAACTCTGTTTTTGTACAAAAAATAAATATGTCAAAACAAGATGGTACGTCAAATTGACATACTTGTCACACAGTTCATCCCATTCCAATTAGCGATGTGCGAGTCGAGTTATTTGATTCGAGTAACACGAATCAAACCGTAACGACTCGTCATCGTCAATTCGGGTTCAGTTTTATGCAACTCAAATCAAGTCGGTCGACCGAACCGGAGGTTATACGTAGGGGCCTCACGAATTGACGAGTTACACGCAGTTGGCTTGCGCGCACTATTCATTAGGTGTTGCATCCTACTCGCATCGAGTTAAGTGAGATGCAACACCTAACTTAACGAACGAAATAGACACAGATAGAACTGGAGTTGAGTCGGGCTCGCTCGGCCAGCATCGGAAACGGAATTGGGCGAATGAAAAACCGCATTGAATTGATTTTTTGATTAATTTTATAAGTTCTTTTGTTATTTTTTGATTAATTTTGTTGTTTAATTTTATAAGTTGACTATAAGGTGACCCGCGCGTGAACTTATCTTTTTGATTTATTAGTGATCTGTTGTGTTTTGTTTGTAATGGCGTCAAATAAACGAAGTGTGGCGTGGGAATTCTTTGCTAAAAAAACAGAAACTTTTTTACGATTAGCAATCGACTACAAACAAAGTAAGTTTCGTGTTAGGTTACTCAAGTAGCCACATCACATAACGATTCAACATCATTATTATTATTTATCTAACAGCCTCGAGTCAAGGTGACTCGTGCTCTCCCAGTGGGCCGATCCCTCTCTCTCCCTATAGGAGACATTGATGCGAGTCAACTCGAGTATCGACTCGAGTCAAAAAAATCCAAGTCGTTATATTACTGATTCCCATTATATTTGAATGTTGCCGTAATATTTGATAAGAAAATGCAGCGAGTGTTTTTACATAGAGCGCTTTAACCACTTCAGGGGAGCGGAATAGATATCAATAGTTTTGAGCAATGAACTTGAATGGGCATTTATGACGAGTTTTAAAAAAATAATCAATTCACGAATACAAATCATTCACGATAGCTAAAAATTTCGTTAATGTTTGTAGAAAAAGTACGAAAAGATTGTCGCCGTTGTGAGAATCGAACCCACATTTCGGCATTCGCGGCCTTACGCTTTAGCCACTAAGCTAAAGACGAGCCTCCGATATGCGGCTGCTTTATGATACATTGCACGGCCATACATTGCTGCACGGATTATCCTTTCACATCCCATCACGTTATCCACGCGGTACAAATTTATTAGATTATCAACTTAGGACGCCACAATTTCATGTTCCCATGACAAAAATACATAGGTGTATCCTGTAATATAATAACATTGTTAACATTGATGTATTTTATCATACTCGTAATCAATTTCGAAATAAAATTTCTAAGGCACTTATAAATATAGATAGACAATAGAGCCGTGATAGCTCAGTATCCGGGCGCTCGCCTATTATTTAATATATACTCGAGCAACCCGAGTTCGATCCCCGGTGCCGGCACCAATGAAGTTTTTAACTTTAAGTGCTGAATTATCACGTGCTCCGCGGTTAAGGAAAACATCGTGAGGAAACCTGCATATTTTCGAAATAATAATAAAAAAAATATACTTTTCGAAGATATGTGAAGTCCGCCAATCCGCAGTGGAGCCGCGTGGACTATGCCCTGATACCATCTGTATAGCACGCACACACACACACACACACACACACACACACACACACACACACACACACACACACACACACACACACACACACACACACACACACACACACACACACACACACACACACACACACACACACACACACACACACACACACACACACACACACACACACACACACACACATTATTAACTCCATTCCATCTCCTCTTACCTCTACACTCTTATGTATAAATGCCATTTTGGTGATTATTGAACCATAAAGTAACAGCATGTATATGTCCAACTGCTGGGCAAAGGCCTCCTCTACACAGAGGGTATCAGGGCATAGTCCACCACGCGGCCCCACTGCGGATTGGCGGACTTCACATATCTTCGAAAAGTATATATTTTTTTATTATTATTTCGAAAATATGCAGGTTTACTTCACCGCGGAGCACGTGATAATTCAGCACTTAAAATTAAAAACTTCATTGGTGCCGGCACCGGGGATCGAACTCGGGTTGCTCGAGTATATTGAATTAAAGGCGAGCGCCCGGACACTGAGCTATTACGGCATTATTGAACCATAATTGTATTAATTTTGGTCAACACTGTTTCATTTTATACACAATATGAGAAATTATAGACGAAAATCTTTCATGATACGATCGTGCAAATCATTTAATAAAATACTGGGTAGTGTAGACATTGATTTATATTCTACCAGCGATTCTCAACTTAAAAGACTATCGTCCAACAAATATTTTTCTACTTAGTTTCGTTGCGTTATTTACCTTTTGTACAGTTAGTTCGTTGTTTACTTTTTAATTTTACTTCTCTGCCTACTTCAACTTTTACTCGTAACGATCGCATAGTTGCGAAACTCCTAAATGGCAGTCTCTTTTTTATTTACTTACATCTAAATCATTTTAATGTTCGCTGTGTTTTTCAAGAATAAATAAAATAAAATGCCTTTCCTCATCTCCATTGGTCGAAAGTTACACACTAGTTTCATCGTGCGTACAGGTTCGCACGCTTTTGGTAAAAAGTAGGTCTTTACATATAACCCAACAAATCGGGACACACAAGTGATCGTATAATTATATGAATCATTTTGTTTATAACATTAATAATTGTTTTATTGGTAGTTAAGGAATAAAGGGAATTAATACGGAAAGTAAATAAAAGAAATAGTTGTAACAGCTTTCAGTTTTATTGAAATATAACACGACCACAATAATTTTTAATGTAGTAAGTATATGTAAAATAGTCTTTAGACTACTTCGTATAATAATACTACCAGTATAATAAACTTTATTGTCAAACATGTCAAATAAACAACTCGATCATAATTAGTTTCCATTAAGCCTTATACTAAAAGTATTGGATCTCATCATTATTTCAACACATTTATTTCGTATTCATTACTATCTGCGTGTATGCGCCTGATGTAATTAATTGGCATATATTTTTTCATGTTTATGAATTATATCAGTCGCAATTATTATTGACATTGACACAAAAATATTAGGTCTTGGGAAGAAACACATTATTTCTTGAATAAACAAAAATCTGAAACTGTAAACGTAATAAGAATTTTAACTTCTTTAAAATGTTAAGTATTTTGTTTTTAGATGTGGTTAGGACAAGCCCCTAAATAAATATGATAATATCATAGTTCTTTAGAAGAAATTTATCAAGATTAAAGATATATTGAAATTCTACTAATTAAATGACTACGATTAGGTTCTACGTTACTTTATGAACCGTTGGGTGATTGTATACCAAGTTGAACATTAGAATCCAATTCCTTAGCGCAACTACTATTAGAAAATAAATAAAGACAAGAGCTGATTTACCATGCTATAATGATTAGCTACCGATCTGAAGAAGCAGAAAGTAACACTGACACAAACGAAATATTATCAGCTAAAGATGACTATAAAAATATGTAAATGAAGGAAAATATTCAAATTGAAATATTTGGCTGAAATTTATTATGCTGATGAAGGGCGTAATAAAGGTAAAGTAATCTTTACCTGATCGCAAAGGCTTCCTCTGTAGAGGGCATAGTCTACGCGAGCCAAAAGCGGATTAGCGGACTTTACGCATCTTCGATTTTTTTATCATTATTATTATTCTAAAATATGCACATTCCTTACGATAGTTTTTCTTCACCACTGATCACTTGAATTTAACAATTAATATTGCAATTAAAAATTTTGTTCGGGTCTGTTCCGGGATTCGAACTCGGGTTGCTCGAGTATCTTGAATTATAAGCAATCGCCCGGACACTGAGCTATCGCGGCTGTTACTTTACTTTTTTAATCTTTATCATATGGTATTATTCAGTATAGAAATATGTAATCTTGCGTAAATAAATATTACGATATTGTACATTTGTAGTAATAAATAATTCACTAGGTACTTCTAGATGGAGTGACTACCTGTGCAAATGTGTGGCAAGCCGATGGCTGCAGATGGCTCAAGATCTTGCTTCGTGGCAGTATGTGGGGAAAGCCTATGTTCAGCAGTGGATTCAAACAAGCTGAAATGATGACGATGAAATAATTTACTCGTGTACATATAATAACGAAATAACTATCCTTACTTTATAAAATATGAAGGATGAATATAGACATGAGCTAGAATATTTCACAGTATTTCGAAAGTTTTTAATACATTGAAATGTATTTTAAGACTTTTTGGTAAATCAAAAATATGTTTAAATAAATAGTTTAATTTATAACGGCTCACTATTACAAACAATGCAACTATGACAGTTATTAACTAAATCATAAAAATAATTAAATAAATTCCTTCGCAAAATATAAATATGTTTGTGTTGTATAGATTACTTTGAATCTATGAAAATAGAGGAAATTGTAAATTTTCACCAAACACTTAAATAGTAACTATGTAGTAACATATGTTTAAAAGAGAGGGTTATGAATAATAATAACTAAACCTCACAAAGCCGTAAGAAACGTAGCATGAATTACAAACTTAGTACAGATTTTTATAGCTCTTTTGTTTACACGAATATGTTATCTATGAACTATTTTTGACTTCATTGATGATTTTCCATTAGCAGCAATGTGCTAACGGAAAATTAAAAAGTATTTTCTCAACCGAAACCATGAACCGAATCTAAAAAATATGATTTTTCTTTTGGGAAACATATGTATAAACCTACAAGCCCTTAGTGATTGATAACTTACGTATCAAAATAGAGATGGTATTACCTATATTAAAAAATCAGTGAGCTTTATTATGATAATAAATTCTTACGTTTGTAAGGTATTAAGGTATTGCTATTAAGTTCCATAAACCCTTCATTTTGTTTTCATCGATAATACTTGTGGTACTATACATTTTTATTTAATAAATTACCAGACTATTCTACGATTCGAGAGAATATAAAAGATATATAATAGACGTAAAAGGCCAAATGTTATAAAGTAATTGTAATAATTATGTACGCCTTATAACAATTTAACAAGTCAGATCAATTTAAGTAAAATATGTAAATACACACTAGTTATTATGAGTGCTAAGGCAGTTACGAACCATACTAAAATGTGTAAATTGATTGTCCGAAAAATTATTTTATTACCTTCCCTTTAGCTAAGCGCTGCTATTTGTTTATTTGAAACTGATCGCTTAAAATAGGATCGAGGCGGGGCACTCCACGAAGGCAAAAGTCAGGTAAATTAAGGAAAAAGTCATATACCTTCTATTATGACAAAACGTGAGTTTTATTTTTTCGTACACAATCAAAGAGCGGGCGAATTTTCGCATGCATCAAGATCAGGTAAATAAGAGTTTCTTTTTCATCTGCTATATAAGATTTAAGGGAATAATTGTCGAATTTTAAATACATTTGTTGTTTGACGAATTGAAAGTCCGACTTTTCCTTTGTGAATTATTGCTCAAGATAAGTTAATAGTTTTGGACTTTTTTAATTATTCCATTCGGGCATATTATACTGAAAAACAATTTCAATATTAAACTTATTTTTCAAAGTTTTTGGCAACAGTTCGAAATTGTCTATTTAACCAACCAAACAAAACTAAATAACCGCCAATTTGAAAATAGTAAATTAAATTGGTAATTAGATTATATCACTAAGGTGTAAGAACGTGTTAGTTTTGGTTATAAGTGTGTTGCTAATTAAATACTAATTCTAAAAATAATGTAAAACAATCGCGGTAAATACATTTGTGTTCTCTTAAATATCTACGCGTTCATATATAATTTTATACAACATTTATACATTATGTTACAAAATACGCAACAAGAATATCAACAATGGACACATGTTACACAAACAAGTGATTTCGTTCGGAACAGTTAAATATATCAGTTATCGTTACTCTCGCCAACATAGATTTGTAGTTGAAAGTCTTACAATTATGCTATGTCGATAATACCTCGTGAAGGTGGTTTATTCAAAATATATGTGTATTTCGTCATTATTATAAATGCATTGAATATGATATTACTGGATTATATGTTGACATTGGACGTGAAAAGCGGCTAGCTTGCATCAATTAATTGAAGACCATCGAGGCGGATCTCGATCCGACGGTAAAATCTTTGTATTGAGAGAACACGCACAGCTGAAAAGGAAGATTTAACAAATGAAGATAATACGTCGTCAAATCTCTATGATTAAAATATCACATACAAATGTTCGAACCGAAATAATCCAGGTAATATAATCATCATTCTCCTGCCTTAATACTATTTTTTATCAAGTGAATTATATTAACTTATATAATTATATATATATATATATATATATATATATATATATATATATTATATAAATACATTGTATTATGAAGCATGAACATTCACAAGTGACTTTCATTTGCAGCTTGCATGCTAGGAAGGTTACTGCATAGTATGTCAGCGGTCAAAAAGTCTAAATTTGTGCAAAATCTGGGATCATTGAAAACTAAGATTATATGTATTGCATTGAATCTGTAACTCTACACAAAATACCTATGTAATAAGCTATCTATTTATTCTTTAACTCTGCACATAATGTGTAATAGGCTTGTGCAATCTGTTTTCTGGCTTTTAATCACAATTTAAATGCTACCAAACAGGTTTTAGGTTAGGTCTTACCTTATCTTTTAGTTGTTGACACATGTGCAATGCAGCTGTTAACATAAATAAAACATCGCTCAGCCAAGGCACAGCACAGTCCGCTTGACATGAATCTATACGCATTGTACCATGAACTGAACTCAACTGGTAAGCAACAAATATCAGTTTATGAGACTGAATATAAAAGGATATTGCTAAATCTTCAGGCAGATTTGGTGAGAGTGCTTTCTGTAAATTTAAACAGTCAAATTTAAACATTAACATAAACCATAAAAAACAAAAACAACTGTTTTTATTATCTTCATTACCATATTTCTACTCTTCATAAGCTCATCAATAGCTTTCTTCTTAGGCAAAACTAATGCTGTACGAGCTCTTTGCAGGGAACCCAACAAACACTGTATAATATGCAATACCTCTTCAGAAGACCTATAAAAATTTAAATGTTAGATTAATCTGCCTGTATCTTTTACCGTTTGAGTTGTACTTAATACTCTTTAAAGCATTTATAAATATATCTTCAACAATTTCACACACCCAAAATACTTGTAATGTATGTGTGATCGGTGTCCTAGCGCTTGCTATTAATTCTATATACTCAGACATCCTGAGATCAAATCCCAGTGCCTAGATGAATGAAGTTGTCAATTGCAATTTTATATGCTGACGAATTTCCAGAATGACAGAAAGATCATGAGCAAACCTGCATATTTTTTATATAATAAAAATACTTCCATCACATGCAAGGTCTGCCAATCAACAATGGGGGCAGTTGGTGGATTATGCCATAATTCCCTCTGTACAGAGGAGGCCTTTGCTCAGCAGTGGGACATAGAAGTAGCTTTATTTCTGTAATTATTAAATCTGTACTATTAAATGTGATACAGTTTTGAATTTAAAATGTAATTTTTTCAAATGTTCTAAGTTTTGTTAAATTTGTCATGGCAGGTAATTATTAATGTTATAGAATTTACTATCATTTTATTAAGCTTAAATGTACACCAATCAATAAATCAATAGCCTTGTTATTGCCAATAATATATATCTTATCATCAAATGACCTCACAGTTTTATTACCTGAACACATAATGTTTATCTACATTATCAATGTAACCAATAGCCTGTTGCAAATGGTTGGCAGCATCCTGTATCTGCTGTAACTTCCAAGGTCCATCCTGATTGATGGATGTGCGACAAATTGAATGCATTTGCCTCAATACCTTGAAACTTATATCCTAGTAATAGTAAAGTTATTAATTAGTGTTATCTTGGTTACACAGTCACACTTAGCACAACTAACTTTTATCAATATATATCAAAGTATCATGTTTTTCACATTTTTTGTACTATTTTATGAATATAAATTTTCTCACATTATAATGTAAAACTTAAAAAAAATATATAATACTGAATGGATTATATATTTATATTACTTATTATGTTTTAAAATAAAAGAAAGTTTAGGAGTTACATACGGCATGGGTGATACTGTCACCAGTTAATGTAACTATGCATTTTAATTGCTCTGGTTGTGAAGTTAGTATGAATTTATCCTGCTTCTGACCTTCATTCCCATACAAAGGTACAGGAAATCTATGGGCACATTCCTGTAAAAAATATTCAACTATTAATTTCTCCCAATACATGATAAGAAAAAAAAAAGACTAGTATACAATTTAATTTTGCCATAAATCCTGTTACACATGTTTATATATTAATAGACAACTATTGGATATAAATGGACAACCATTTTCTAAGTTCCTTTTATTTCAAATTGGTAAGAGTAAAATTCCTTTACTTACTTTACTTTACTATGTTCGTTATTTAACATTAAAGATGTAGAAGATACTTACGACTAAAACTGTATGAAGCTGATGTAATATAGCGTGCACTTCTTCACGAAGCACCCATTCAAACTCTTCTTTCTATAATAAATTAAATTTTAAATTAGAACCGTACAAGCTCTGTATTCAAAAGATAATAATTAATTGCGGTACCAAATTAGCAGCCTCTTCCTTTTCGTTGTCATTCATATTAAAAATATATTATAGCTTTTAAATTTCTAACAATGGGATTTTTAATAATGTAATGATAAAATTGTGATAGATTTTCTGCCAGACAGCAGACAATTTAGAACTTCAAAATTCACACTAAGATCAAATTTTTTTTTTTTATTAAAGATTTTATGGCCTGGTAACAAGACCTTTAAGCCAAGTCTTATTTTCGAACACTAATTTTCTCATTTTTGTATTATTTTGTATATTTTTACGTGTTCATTGATTTTATTTAGTTATTTAAATTGTCCCCACAGTATTTTTAACGTATTTATATAATGCATTATAACACTTTTTTGTTTTTGAGCAAATCACACAAGTGGCGGCGGGAGGTATCACTAACTTCTATTATTTCACTTGCCAATATTAGTCTATGAAAAACGAACGTTTTGTTTGGACATTTGAAGAAAATATGATTCATGTCAGCTATCCCATCATTACAGAAAATGCAAATATTGCTTTTTATTATATTGAGTCTTGCGAGGTGTGCAGGTGCAGTGTTATGGCCAAATCGTAATCTATTGATTGTGGTGACGAATTCACGGCTAGCTATTTCCAGCTCATCATACCAAGGTCTTCTCGGTAAATTCTCTTGGATACTTCCATACCATTTTCCTTTAAATTTTTGATCCTCCTTCCAGAAGTTTAGCCAAATATTTTTTAATGAAATATTTACATCGGAATAATAATCGATCATAGGAACATGCACCACATTTCTAACGTCAATAGCATTGACCCCTTCATATGCAGTTTTGTCTGCAATTTCATTACCAGAAATACCTTTGTGTGCGGGAACCCACATAAAGGCAATTGTTATCCCCTTTTTATGTAATCGAAATACAATATCTTTAATGAAATAAATTATGAAATTTGTTTTAATATTAAGACTTACATGTCTTAGACTGTTTATAAGACTCAAAGAGTCTGTTAAAATTAGAAAATATTTACAATTAATTACACAACTAATTGATTTTAAAGCTTCAAAAACTGCATATGCCTCTGCTGTAAAAATGGAGCACTGTTTATCTAGAGCAAAGCTTTGAGCAACATCTTTTTGGGGATCATATACTGCACTTCTCACGTAATCATTACCTTTACTGCCATCAGTGTAGATTATATAATACTTCTTGTTTTCTTCTAAGAATGCTAGAAAGTCTGAATTGTTATCAATTGAATTTGATAGAATCATAATAGTATGTGTAATACTATTATAAGAATGAGTGTAACATGGCCAGTGAGAATGTTTTTTGATATTTGAATAATGAGATTGTATTTCTAAGAAAATCCGGCACAAAGTTGGAGTTGTACCTGTCAGAAGATCTTTAGATGAAGTCAATGGACCATCTATGTTAATGAAGTGAGGTATGATTCTATTTATAATTTGCAAATTATTTGATGATAATAGTTTCAGACAGTATCTTTCTGCAAGCATAAGTCTTCTCAAAATCAAAGGCATAATATTTGTTTCAACTTCCATGGCCCTTATGGGAGTCGAACACATTGCCCCTGATATGATCCTCAAAGCCTTGTTCTGTAAAACATCTAATTTATGAGTATGAGTGCTATTTAAATAACCCAAAGAACTGTAATCAAAATGGCTTCGTATTACAGATTTATATAGCACTGAAAGTATTTTGGGGTCTGCACCCCATGTAACACCTGCTAGACATCTTAAAATGTTAACACCGTTTAATGCATTCCTAGATACATATTTTATATGTTCTTCAAATGACAACTTCTGGTCAATGATAACACCCAAGAATTTGTGTACAGCTACTCGTTGAATAACATTACCATTATAAACAACATCAATTAATGGCTTATCTTTTCCAAATATCATGACACTACTTTTGGCAGAATTTATATTTAAATTTAATCTGTTCTGATAATAATTACTCAACTGTCTTAAACCAGTGTTAACATTTTCAATGGCTACTATTAAATTCACATCTGAACTGTATAAAACTAAATCATCTGCAAACTGTAGTATATTTACATTTTTAGTATTTACATATTTACATATCTCACAAGTATACAAGTTATATAACAAGGGCGACAATGTTGCACCTTGTATGGTGCCCTTTGACACATTTCTAGGTCCATGCAAGGTATTGTTGTGCTTTACATATAATATTCTATTATTAAGGAAATCATATATCCATTTACATAATTGGCCAGGTACACCAGCGTTGCTCAGTACCTTCACCAGTATGCCAGGATTCACACTATCAAATGCACTTTGCACATCCAGAAATATACAAACTGTGTGTAATTTATTGTGTTTTGCATTTTTCAGGTCATTTATGAGGGAAATGAAGCTGTCAGTACAACTTCTTCTTCCTCTACGAAATCCATATTGAACATGAGGGATCACACTATTAGATTCTGCATACCAGTCAAGGCGTGACTTTATCATGTTTTCAAATATCTTTCCAAGACATGACGATAGCGAGATTGGTCGATAAGAACTAGCCAGTTCAGGTGATTTATCTGGTTTAAGTATAGGTATTACACATTGAGTTTTCCATGAATTTGGTATTATTTTTTTATGCCAGAGACTATTAAGAATGTTCAAAAATAACTTTTGTATAGATTCAGGTAGATGTTTTATCAGTAAATATGGAAAATCATCTAAACCAGGACTAGTATTTTTTCTAGATTGTATACTCATCAAAAATTCATTCCATGAAAAAGAATCCAGTAAAAATCTTGAATGAGGATTTTCATTGTTATTATTAAAAAAATTGTCTAATGATTTTGGATCAACTAAATTGGTGTTATCTGATAGCTTGTGTAAAAGCGGTTGTACAAATTCATCCTTATATGACTTATTACCCATTCTCATACCCTTAAACCTTTTAATGAGTTTCCAGATTTCACTAATGGGAGTATTTCTATTGAAACTGTTACAATAACTAGTTCCAACTGATTCTTTTTTGCTCTTTTATGGTGCGCTTTTTTAAAGCATCCAATCTTTTATAGTTGATGTAATTATGTATTGTTGGATCACTTCTGTAATGTTTCAGTGCATCATAAGATTTAATAACGGCTTGTTCACATATACTGTTCCACCAGGGGGCTGGTGGTCTACTTCTAAAGTTAGTCCTAGTGAATCTAGGAACTATCATTCTTTTAAGTGTATCAAGTCGGTTACAAAATTCCTCATAGGATTTCATTGGATTCTCTTCGCTAACCATCATGTCATGGAACACTGAATTAGAGAATTCTCTATATTTAGTCCAATCTGTTTTGTTGTATAAAAATTTGTCACTATGTTTATTGATTGAGTATCTTTCAATGCACATTGTAATGCTTGTGATGGTTGGATAATGGTAACTGCCCATAGCATCGTCATGCACAGACCATTCACAAATTGGGGCCAACTGTGGACTAACAAAACTTACATCTATTGCTGAGGGATTGCGTGTAGGATAATTTACTGTAGTGAAGCTGCCATTATTTAAAATGCATAAATCATATTCATCGATAATGTCATACAAGCTTTGACCACGACTTTTTGTAGACAGACATCCAAAAGCAATATGATGTGCATTGAAATCACCACTTATGAAAAGAGGTTTTGGTAAATCTCTTATAATATTGCGCAATCTATTAATTCTTATGTGCTTATTGGAGGGAGGACAGTACACACAAAGAATAGATAAAGTTGTATTTTTTGTATTTATACTTATAGCTATTGTTTGTATATCTTCATAAAAAGTAGTATTTATAATATTGTGTTTCAAATATGGTTTAATTAATATTCCTACACCATTACGCGGATTTTTCGAACTTTTACTGTAAAAATTATAGCCTGTAATATTAAAGGATTGATGATCTTGTAACCATGTCTCATTTAGTAGACAAATATCAATATTTTTTTCATTTAAGAATTTTGTAAGAAGAGGTTTTTTGTGATTTGCACCTTGAATATTAAATTGCGCAATATGTAAAGAAGGTTTTTTATATAGTTGTGTATCCATCATGTTGCCAGATTTTTAATCAGTATATCTTTAATTAATGATGTAGTGATAGGTTCATTATCATTTTTGTTGCCTATTTGGACCAGTGTGTGTACAAGGGCCATAAGTACATCACTGTTCCCAATAATTTGTGATTTAATATCATCATTATTTACAGTTTGTGAGACTTGTTTAATATTTACAAATTTATTTACATGTTTAGGTGCTTTATTTACAGTATTTACATTTTTATTTACAGGTAAGGTGTGTGATGGTAGAGGAGGGAAGTCTGTATTCTCTTTTGTAGTGGCAATGCTTGCATATGTAATTTTATTTTTCTTTTCTAATATTTTCTTTATTTTAATGGGACATAATTTCGAAATAGCCAAATGAGGTCCGCTGCAATTAATGCAGCAAACCTCATCTGGTTTACTGCATTCTTTATAAGAATGTTCACCTGAACAAATAGAGCAACGCTGTTTGCCATTACATATCTTTGCAGAATGATTAAATTTAAAGCATTTGTAGCATTGTTGCAGAGGAGAAACATATTCAAAAACTCTGTATGAAAATAAATCGTACTGTACACTCTCGGGTAATGAGTTCGTCAAAAATGTAATGCTTACAGTTTGTGTTCCTAACAATTCGTGACCAACTTTTTTTATAAACCTCCTAACAGCAATAATTTCATATGTAGAAGTCAATTTAGTGAATAATTCTTTATTTGAGATATTTGCAGGTACAAATCTGATGATACCAGTTTTTTTCAATTTGAGCTGCTGGAATATATGCTTTCATTTCATGTTTTTCTAGAAAGTTGATGTTGTTTATAAAATTATTAGCCGTATTGTGCTGTTTAAAAATGACAACAATTTTATTTGCGTTAATACGCCTTATTGCCACCACACCTTTAATATTCCCAAATATATGATTTAAGTAGATCGGGCTTTTATTTCCCAGTCTTTCCTGTATGTTTTTTGCTTTCAATATAAACTTTAAATTCTGTGTTAGTTGCATTTTCTGGGTATAGTCTTTTATAATTGGGTTTGCGATATGATAAATGTTCACTCTCACCACCTCCGCCGCCAATACCAGAAACGTCCGGGGTAAGAAGATCTTCAGGGCGCCTTGGTCTCTTTTTTGAGGAAGGCGGGTTATCCCCGCCCTCCTCGTTTCCATCCATTTTTATTATTTACTCGTTATATATACTTCTAATTTGTCTAATATTTTAATTATTTAAAAAGAAATAATATTAAAATTAATTAAAACAGACTTTGAAAAAATAAATTTGAACCGCGCTTTTTCAAATTCCCGCCAGAATCCACTAAGATCAAACGTCACTTATTTACTATAGATTAAGTATACGTAGGTATCTTTTGAATAGGTAATACAAAACTATCGAGTATTTAATCGATTTTTATTCGATTCAAGTACTTTGTATTATGGATCTATAAATTACGTCGGATAGAGTGACATTATTCCCCAGTCAGATAATAGCTACCGATCGAGCCGAGGTCCGGCCCTCTCGGGCACCCTCGAATCGGAATGCTAAACGCGTATCGAGTGACAGCCCAAGCCGAGGTCCCCCCTCGGGGACCCTTGAGCCTGATCACTCCATGGAGCGCCCGCCAAAGCGCTCTAAGAGCTTGGCGGCCTCCCAAACCGGTGATAATAATAGCGTGACGGCCCGAGCCAAGGCTCCCCCGGGAGCCCTCGAGCATAGTCACCATAACGCGTAATAATAACACGCCGAGGTTCAGGCTAGGCGCCCCGTGCGCCAGGCTACCTCAAGCCCGTAAAGGCCCCTAAGGCCAACAGTGGCTCATCCAGCCCAAAAAAAAATGACATTATTCCACTTAATATTTATAGCAACCTTTTCCGTTGCATGAATGGACAGCCTCATCCAGGGAAATACCACGACTTCACAGAAGACAGGAGTGAAGTGATAGTGTTATATTTCTGGGTTTCGTCTAGTGAACTAGTGAATGAGGTAACCGGGATCCACTTTATTTAAAGATGGCATCATATGTGCAATCTTAAGGATACTGCAGATTTCCACGGGTGGCGGTTATCACTTAACATCAGTTACTCCGCCAACACGCTTGCCTCTTTCTCACATTAAAAAAAAAACTGAACCATCAAATATCACATAGAAGTTAAGGGACTTTCATGTTATTTTTGGTGGTTCGAGTGTGTCTATCATTACAAATTTGACTTTTACGCAATAACCATAACAATAACGTAACGCGCACTCGTGTTATGGAAGAATATATTCAGTTTTTTTTTAACTTGACTTAAACTGCAATCTTTCTATTTTCGCGTATAATTTAATTATTTTAAGGACTTATGTAACTACTTTTGTATTTCATATTTATCTATTTGACTAAAATAATCCTATGTTGTCAATTGTATTTTATCTAAATTTCAGCGACATTTAGATTTCAGGTTTTTATATTTAAAAAGTCTGTAAATATTAAGAATTTGTATGTTGTACAGTAATTAACGATAGTTCACATGTTGTAGATACTTGGTATTTATAACGCGACAGAAGTCACGTACTTTGTCGTTTGAAGCCCATACTTTTTTCATACTAGGTGAACAAGTATACATAAAAAATATATACAATATATTTATGTGTACTTATACAGATAAAAATAAATACACATAAAAAACTTAATGCCCAAAATGGGTCAGGTACTACAAGCAACGCTAACTAAACATTGCGAACTTTTTACTGGCCCTAAATTGCTTGTAAAAAAACTTTGATGTACGGTTTGACATAATTATGGTTTCTAGGTGAATACTAAAATACCAAGGAAAGCCTTTAACAATGGTATATCCTAAAAATCTTCAAGCATTTTATACTAAAATAGAAAATGCTTTACGTGACACCGGTTTTATTGCAGGGTAAGTTTTTTTTTAAGATAACGTTTTGTCACTACAGGTTTGAAATTGGTCATACCTAATAATGACTTGTGTTCGTACATCAGGCTTGATCTTTCAGAAGATTGACCAGTTATACACTTGATTTTAAGTAAAAAAAAATAGTATTCTACTCACAAGTCATTTAATTTTTCAGAAAATCCGGGCGTCATATGAAGTTTCCTTACACTATATCTGCAAAAATAGCGCAATTTCCCTTATTTTTTTATATGAAAAACAATAATATTTGGATGTATTATCCATTAGGAATAGCGGTTGGTTTTTACTTTATTACGAAAATTCATGCTTTATCGAATTCTGAACAGAATAAAGCAAATTGGGCAGAAACAAAGAGAAGAGCCGCCGAAAAGGATAAACATAATTAAAAAGTACTCTAACGCATTTTTATTTATAAACTCACGAGCCCTCATCAGTATAGCATTATTTTAACAAAATTATTATTTAATATATAAGGTACATGATACCTATATGTGATAACTTCCGAGAAGGGGCATCGATGTGTCTGGCTTGTTTTCGTTGGTATATATGGCTGTGCAATACTTCTAAAAGTTCGAACTCAAAAGTTAATGAGAATTTGAACAAGGATAATGCAGAAAAAGTAGTCTCACTTCATATTTAAATATAAACATTACTTTAAAGGTAAGAAAATGAATCTCTATACATATTGTAATCTGTAAAAGTTTTCGAAAAGTCATTTAAAAAAGTTTACTAGTTTAAACGTATATACAAAATAGCATTGCATTAAATCTTGCGTCTTTAGAGTTCCGTACACAAAGGATAAAACGGGACTTAACTCTACCTTACAACGACCTTACTAAGGCACCGCTAATATTTAAGTAGGGCTCATACCAACAGACACGATTTTTTTGCCGTTTATATAACGGAATATCTAATACCTTTAAACGAGCAATTCTTTTATATGAATATATAATCAGAATCTCGGAAACGGCTCTAACGATTTTCATGAAATGTAGTATGTGCGTAGATTCGGGAGCGAAAAATCGACCTAGCTAGATTTCATTTTTAGAAAATGTCCCTTTATCCCCCAGGGAATGAAAAGTATCATTCGAATATGACCGTAAATTTCGCCGAAAAAAGTGTTATAATAAAAATGTTATAATAGCTCGATCGGTAATCGGGCGGCCCGTGTTTGCTGCGGTTCGTGTCACGATCATTTACACACTTATTTTTTTACTTTTTGTTCTATCTTCTATTGCTTTCTTTATTTTTTATTTTTTTAATATCCAAAATACACGATTTACCAAAAAAAAAGCTCGGCCCTCCAGGTACTAACCCTTTATGCGCGAGGTTGACTTGCACTGTGTTGGTGTTTTTATATACTCTGACCGAGGAGCCGTGATTATACTATCTATCAGTGAGCAGCATTCTCCGAGCTCGTTACTCGAGCAACTTCAGTTTGATCTCCCGTACTAGCACTAATGTTATTGTTAGTTTTAAAGCTGGACATTGACTTATACCATACCGGAACGCACTAGGTTATTTCAAAAATGAAAAACTAGTAGTCACACCAACTTGTGGGAGGTTAACCTACAATACGTTGGCCAAACGGCCAAATGTTCAACGAGAAGATATGCCGAAGTTAACGAACGCCGCCCACCCGCCGAGTGGGAGTTAAGAACTAAATATCTTTTTTTTACGTTTTATTACAGAACCTCGGCGTGAATGTGGCCTTCTCAGGCCGCCTCTCTTCGGGCGTTATAGACACCTGGTCCAAACATAAGGTGCCATATCAGTGTTATCGGACTAAAAATTATCCTAAGTAATTATACTCGTCAACATCTTCGAACATAATGCAAAGAAATGTAAGATGGTTTTGAGAACTAGAACTAGATTTTTCACAACCCACCAGCTTCGTCAAAGGTAAGTTAAGATCGAGATTTTTGTAAACAAAAAGTTTCGTAATAAATCACACGATCATTGAAGGAATATGCAGACTCGTTATTAAATTGCAATAACAACAGAATGTAAGTGCTTCCAATTGCCTGGCACATAACATTGCAATTTTGTTTTGGAGATCAATTCACCGGCGAACGCGCTGGTTCATATGTATGTTTCATAATATAAGTATCGATTCCCGTGCTAAGCACAGTATCTCGGAAGTACAGTCCGAGAGGGTGGCGGATCGATCCCGAATGCTTTAATTGTACGAACGGACTTGTATATGCATTGATTCTTATGAATTGGGTTCGACGTTTCTAAAGAAAGTGGACTGAGATGTTATTCTGAGGTGAAATCCGGCGTTCAGTATGTACCTTGAGAAGCGATATTGAGGCACGCACACTCAGAGAGTGGAGGTCAGAAAATCTTTCGACTTAAATTAGAAATCGATGATATAGAATTAAACCAATTGTAATTTGAGTGCCTCAGTTTTCGTGCGCTTGTGTTATCTCTATTGTTATATCAATGATTCGGATAAAGATTGCGTCAGGGCAAAATCGATTTTAGTTAACCATTCCTAGTAATTGTAAATTGTAATGACAGATGGTTGTCATTGTCAAAGTGGTGAATAGTTCGTCCTTCGCAGAATTGTTTTCTTTTTGTTACATTTTTTCGTCTATTTTATTGACAAATGATAATAACAAGAACTAATGGGTATGAGTGAATCTTCGATCATTTCATATACTTGAAATCAAATACTATGTGGGTCAAACCTCAAGAAGTGTTTATAAAAACTGCACTATGGTAATTATTATTTACCTAAACCAAACCTGCTTATCTATTCATATTAGATACTATGTCTTCACAGTTTATTTATTGTTAAATATTTAATAGAAAAATACGTATTTTACTCAACAGGGATAGCGATGAGACCACCTTATACTTTGTACTGCAAAGAAGAAAAGGACATGGAAAATCAAAAGGACTTTCTTCTCTATTAGTAGGCACTTTGGATAGTGTATGGGATACGAAACCTGCGCCATACAGAATATTACATCAAACTCCAAACTCAGAAATATATTATGGTATTTTGATCATTCATACTTATTTAGTATTTTTAATAACTTAAATGTTAAAAAAATTATTAGTAATAAAATACTTACTAATATTATAAACGTGAACGTTTGTATGTATGGAAGGATGTTTGTCACTCTTTCACACAAATAATACTGAATGGATTTTAATGAAACTACAATAAAATAGCTTATACATGAGAATAAGACATTGGCTATAATTTATATACATATTTTTATGTACATCTGTCTTTCTGTCTGAATGTTACACCATTAGCCTATTCTACACATAGTAGCGGGCAGCAGCTAGTAGCAAATAAAATCAAATCTATGCCCAAATGAACTAATACTGTAAGACAAGATATAGTTAGGTCATTCTGCATAGATTGATACAAAAATAATAATTTAAAAACTGATCCTAGGCCAGACTAACTATGACATTCAGACCACCTATGCTTCAGTCTGTCCTCTAAATATTAACTCTGAAAAGGTTTTGAAACTTTGGGAAACAAAATTTAAAAATAAATGTGATAAATCCGTAGTATAGTTTAATTCAATAATGTGTAATCATGTAAAGACAAAAAAAATCTAAACAACAAAAATTAAGATTTAAATAAAGGCTTTATTCTATTTATTATAAATGATGACTGTCATTTCTAACTAATTAAAAATTTTAGTAATAGCTACAGCTCTAACTGAACAAGAGATTAGACAAGACTGGCAGTGGCTTTTTGATAATGTTAGCCCGACTTTGCATTCTTTTGATAGCGAAGAAGAAATCACTGAATTTGTATGTTGCAAAATAAATTCCATATTAGCAACTGAACAGGAGCATTTAACAGAAGGTGAGGCCTGCTATAACAAAATGTCATATTATTTTTGCTCTCTGATGTTTCTGAAGTTAACATATTTTTTTTTACATTCCATCAGATGAAGATACATACAAAAATGTGGATTATCTATTTCACCAAAGATTTTCAATGCCAAAAGATGAGAAGTTGGTTTGCTATTATTCTTGTAGGTGAGTAAACATGAGGTTTTATTCTTGTTGTTTGTTACTTCAGCTGTGTGTCATATTTGCCAGAAGTCATTTTGTAATTGTGATATCTGTTATTTAACAGTATTTTTTTAGTAATTGATTTAGTTACAAAATAAAAGTTTATTAAATTTATTAAAATTTATACAATGAACTATGCTTTATTTATAATATAATAATATTTATTATAATATTGATGTAATAATAATCTACAGGTTAAATATTCTAAGTAAATTAAACATGAATTTCATGTGCTCTTTTCCATGTAAGTCTTGATAAGTGGAACTAAAATCTGTATCTTCAATTATGATTAAATAAAACCTAATTGATATTTTAGTAGCTTAATGAATTTGAAAATAAGTTATTAAGACTGACTTTATTTTTTTTTATTTTAAACACCAACGCCAACACCCGCTTTCTGAAAACTGATCATCGTAGAAGTTAACTAATCAGTTGTTAAATGGCTTTTCAAATGTTATTTAAGTTGCCAAAAGGATGGTTTAACTCTTTGAATTGATCATTCTAATCATTAAGAAGATTGTTCTGATTACAATAAGAAAATTTTTACATTGACTATTAATAACAAATTTTTTCAGCTACTGGAAGGGTAAAATGCCTCGACAAGGGTGGATATATCTGTCCGTTCACTACATGTGTTTTTACTCATATATCTTTGGAACGAAAACTTCACTAAAGATCAGATGGGCTGATGTCACAGAACTTGCAAAGACAAATAGTATCTTGTTTCCAGACTCCATCAAAGTTGTGACTAGGGATGGAGAACATTACTTCACAATGTTTTTGAAAAAGAATGAGACATTTGCATTAATGCAACAGCTGGCCAATATTGCTATGAAACAGTAAGTAAAAATGTTTAAAAGATGTATCCTTACAAATAGAGATATTATATGTTTTTAATTGCCTGATTAATCAACAAATATCTGTATTTGTAATAATTGTATGTACCTATTTTGTATTTTTATTAATGGATCTATCAATACACTATTAAGTATTTCATTATTATTTTCAATTTTAGATTGATTGATGACAAGTCAGGTAGTTTTAATATTGATAAAGATCTACTGACAAAACTTAGCAAGAATGTGCCAAAGAAGCCATCATTCCTCAAGCGGGATTTAGATGCAAGAAAGCAGTCAAATTTGTATACATTGCGTTTTCGGTTGCCGCATACTGAGAAACTGGATGGTAGTGAAGAATGTACTTTGTGGACGCCTTACAACAAGAGATACAATTGGGGAAGATTATACTTGTCACAAAATTTTATATGCTTTGACAGCAGAGTGAGTATGCACTTTAACTTTTAAAACAAAATTTTATTTCATCGACTTACAAATTTTTCAATTATTTTATCATAATCACATCTCATTTTAAGTCATTTAGTGGGGAACATATTTGTTGTTTAATAAAAAGAGCTATTTGGATCAGTGGCATGATGTGGTCAAGTGATTTAAATTTCATAAAATGTGCTAATTCTTGAGGCTCCGCTTTTAGATTAGAATCAACCTGGATATTCTCAGACCTCACTCTGAAGTCTGCAACATAATTCCATGTTGCCCCTGTGTGATACAAGACTTTTCTTTATTCTTTTTTTTTATGTGAGAAAGTGGCAAACAAGCTGGCGGTTCACCTGATGTTAAGTGATAGCTGCCGCCCATGGACATTTGCCCGTAGGGTTGCAAATGCGTCGCCACCTTTAAATAAAGTGGGCCCCGGCTATCTCACTCACCAGACGAAACGCAGAAGTGTAACACTTCTACATTACGCCGATCTTCTGTGAGGTCGTGGTACTTACCCTGACGGAACTGCCCATTCGTGCAACAGTGAACACTGTTGCGTGGCCCTACCACAGTTAAGATCATATATTCGTTAAGTTCTTTATTATATTAAGCATTTTTTTACTATAAAAGTAGCCTATTTCACTCCAGCAATGTCAACTCTGAGTCGAAGAAAAATTAATAACGAATACTATTTTGCATTAATATTACATTTATATTAATGGAATCATAATAGAATGTTTCACTGTCCTCCCTTCTCAATCTAGGTGACGAATCCTTTTAGTCATGTAACACAAAACATTTTCTATGTTCTTATACGTAAGACCTATTGTTCAGAATCGACACACCCCATTAGCTTTTATGAGTCAGAACAAGACTCGTACAGTGTTCAATAGCCGATCGTGTATGTTATCATAAAACATTCGCTGTTCTCAACTATCTCATGCTCACGTTCGATTGTGTTATTTATTCCGTTTCACGTGTTTATTGACGCAATATAGTGTAACTTAATTTTCGATACACTGCTGAGCTGAAAAAGGGTTAATATAGGTTTCGAGTTTGCTAAAATGTCATTGCATTTGCTACATAAATAAACACATCTTCGATCGGAACTTTTCATGTCACGGATCCGGTACAGTCTTAACTGTTGTACGAATGGGTAGGGTATCTAAGGTGTCTCACATAAAAAAAATTAAAAACGCGCCAAAACACTCGGGGTCGAAGTAGTCGCGATTTGTATTTCTTTTAAATTTGAACGGGCAATAACGTAAGGGGCGGCCGAATGACTTAGAGGTCGGACTATGTTTTTTTAAATGGCGCCGACACTAGAAAAATCGCCGTCTCGCATAAACACAGATAAAAAACTATATATACACAATTACACACGTATACAAGTATAAACAATTATAAACGCGTGTCCAGTTTGTCCGAATCAGAAGCGAAGTGACAATATTGCACTAACCGGGTAGTCAAAATTGTGCCCAAGTGATTTCAAAACCCTGAGGTGGCTTGCACCAATTGCGTTTCCTTAATCACAGGTCTTACGCATCAAAGTAGTAAGACACTCTGATATTTGTGTCCATAAAACAGGCTGTCACTAATAAAGGCCGGATAAGCGATATGTGTCTATCCTGTTAGAGTTAAATGACCTTAGGATTTACGACCAGTTTTCTCTAAATTCAATAATCATAGGAGATACAACTTTCACGTTTCAGTCTACGTTATGTCTTCACTTTAACTGTTTCGTCTACGTAACGTTTGACCCACGAAAACTGCTACGTTATGTCTTCACGTCTACGTGTACTTTTTCGTCTACGTAACTTTTTACGTTTGTTCCACGAAAACTGTGATACAATTCAGGTGCGGCACCTAGTCAGGCTGACGATACCCCTCCGGAACGTGCACCAAGTGGAGAGGGCCGACTCTGGCGGTGCCGGCAGCTCTGGCGAATCGGGCAGCATCCTCATAACGACCGCGCACCACACGAGTTTCCTATTCGGGAACATATCCGACCGCGACTTCCTCGTCCACAAGATATCCGAGCTACTAGCCAAGCTGCCCAAGTGAGTCCCGCCCTATTTATCTTCGGGAATTCGCTTCGTAAATTCAACGCTTTGGCGAAGTTCTAGCAATAGGGTTATTTTGTTTGATAAAGAACCCATAAAATGACTTGTTAAATTTAAGTAAGAGATAAACATCATGCACTTGCTTTTGAATCAATCGTATACAGCGTGTCGTTACCATCGCGACAATAAATGAACACACGTCTAATGCTACTTGCCAATAATCATAAAAAATATTAACGTTAAACAAAATGCATAATTAAAAAAAAATTTTTTTCAAACAAACTAATTAAGTAAAAAAGAAACAAAATTTGTAACATCCTATACAACTCGCGCCACAGCGTCTCATTACAAGCCTCTCCTTCTAACAGTATGTTTTGTCTCTTTTAAATTCATTCAACCCATTCATACGCTCGGTGACCTTTACAAATGAACTTTACGTTACAGTTTTATACGTAAGGGTGTTCTAAAATTATTTGTTTGGGAAAATTTAATAACTGTGTAAATATTGATGTTTAAAGAATGTAAATGTTTAATATTAATATTATTTTAAAAAGTTATCCCCTATATGTGTGTTCATTTATTGTCGCGATTGTAAAGACACGCTGTATATCATATATTTTTTTAACCTTGGTTTAAATAGTTGAATTTTTACCATTACGAGATAGTATGTAACATATGCACGTTCCTAATATTCATCTTTCTTTGGTTTACGAGACATATTAGAATAGTATTGTGAAAAGCATGCTTTAAATACTGTGGCATAATTTACTAATCATTTTAATGTTGTTTTCCAGAGGAAACGTTACAGCGATGCTAATTAAACGGTTGAAGTGACTCGTGACTTTTTCATTATTACATACGTGCGGTCATTATCTTAACTTGGCAACATAATACGCTCGCTGTTATGGCGATAACGTTGCATATTTGTGTTTACGTTACTCTCCTATAATAAATTGAACTATAACCGTATGCAAAATTGAAGGGGCCACGATTTAATTTTTAATCGCAAATAACAACTATCATACGAAAACAGTCGCGTTAAAATCGCAACGGACCTGGTGGGAGCTACTAACATGGCGCGGACTTTCGTGTGTATGTTTGTATTAATGCGTGAATGGTCAGTGATGCGTACAGGGAGAAGTCTACTCGGGCGTTGGACAGGAGCGAGGAGGGGCCCGACTGGACCCCGCAGCCGCCGCTGATGACCCTGTTCAAGACCCACCAGACCGCCACCATAAAGCAGATTCAGCAGAAAAAGGTGGGCGTTGACAACGATTGGTGTAGTGGGTAGGGACCCTGCCCCTTGCGCTAGATGGTGTGGGTTCGAGCCCCACTACTGGAAAATATAGTGTGATAGACATAGCGTTTTTCAGTTTTCCAGTCTGGGTGTTTATTTATTTACAAAAGAAAAGTATGTTTAAGTATGTTTATCAGTTATCTAACACCCATAGTACAAGCGTAGCTTAGTTTGGCACTAGAAGACGTTGTGTAAAAATGTTTCCTGAAATATTTATTATTTATTTAGCTAGTTGGTTATACGGTGGAAATCGCCGGGTCAACACTTAGACCTTGAAATCCAGCTTCTTTGTCAAACTTCACTATTCCATGTAAACGGAAAGTACCCTAAAGGTTTTGATGAATGAGTTTACGAATACTTAACTAAAAATGTGACATAAATAGCCTAACGTTCGCTTGCATTGACTTCAAAGTTTTATTTTCACTCTCAAAAGAACCTGTAAACCCCAACTACCTGTGAAACAAGACGACCACGACAGCTAATGGTCGAAAGTTGAAATTTCGACTTGCCAGGAGAAGCAGTGGGAGGACCACATGTCGGAGGTGGGCCGCGGCGTCAGCATGTACCAGACGACGGCGGGCAGCGAGCTGGTGGTGAACGGCATACCGGAGTCGCTGCGCGGCGAGCTCTGGAGCGTCTTCTCCGGCTCCAGCCTGCAGAAGGCGCAGAACAAGGGCCTCTACGCGAAGCTGGTGAAGCGGGCGCTCGCGTCGAGGAACCAGGCGAATGACGAGATCGAGAGGGATCTGCACCGCTCCCTTCCAGAACACCCCGCCTTCCAGAACGACGTCGGTGAGTCCGACGATTTTGTGTTGTTTAAAAGTAGCTAAGTTAAGTAAAGTAGCCTATACATCTGACCCGAATGGCGTAGTGGTTAGTGTACCTGCCTCCTGCGCCGGAGGGTGTGGGTTCGATCCCCACTACTGGAAAAGTATTGTGTGATGAACATAGTGTTTTTCTAGTGTCTGGGTGTTTATGTATGTATGTATAATATGTATTTATTTACAAAAGAAAAGTATGTTTATCAGTTTTCTAGTACCCATAGTACAAGCGTTGCTTAGTTTGGGACTAGAAAATGTTGTGTAAAAATGCATCCTAAATATTTATTATTATTTTATTATTATTATTACATGTCCCACTGCTGGGCAAGGGCCCTCTGTACAGAGGGTATCAGGCCATAGTCCACCACGCGGCCCCACTGCGGATTGACGGACTTCACATATCTTCGGAAATAATTTTTTTTCTTTTGTTATCATTTCGATAATATGTAGGTTTCCTCACGATTTTTTCCTTCACCGCTGAGCACGTGATGTTTAAAAATATTGGTCGCATTTTCGATGACTCCGTGGCGCAGCTCCCAAGGCATTGGCTTCGGCGTCCGGGGTCGTGGGTTCGACTCCCACACAAATAGTTGTCCCAACTATTTGTGCGACCCACGGATAGTGGTACCGAATCTGGGTGTTTGTCCATGTGGAATTTATGTTTGTGAAACGTCTTGGAAACACGGGATAATGTTATCCTAAAGTGAGGGCAGTGTTTTTTAAAAAAGTAAAAAAAATATATATATAAGCTCTAACTTATCCCGCGCTCATCGCTGAAGAAGTACAGAAGAAAATATTTCGAAGACACTATGTGAAGTCCACCAATCAGATCGGTCACGAGGGTTATCTGAAACCAGCTTTCCGATTATAGTAATTACTAGCTGTTGACCGTGGCTTCGCATGCGCGATCAAAGGGAATTAACAATGAGTTTTTTATTATACACCCTAATATCTCGCAGACGGCTGAATTTTTTCCTACTTACTTGACATTCATCATTACCTATGTTTTGGACAATTACACAATATCTTTATAAAATATAGCCTAGGTGTTATTCTGATGTATAAACTATATTATTGTAAAGTTTCATTAACATCTATTCAGTAGTTTTTGCGTGAAAGAGTAACAAACATCCATCCATACATACAAACTTTCGCGTTTATAATATTAGTAAGGATTATATAATTATTATATTTCAGTCATGCATAAATTTTATATTGAGTGACTATTGGTTATCTTCCTAGGTATTTCGGCGTTACGCCGAGTGCTTTGCGCTTATGCACTCAAGAACCCCACCATCGGGTATTGCCAGGCCATGAACATCGTGGCCTCCGTTCTGCTCATCTACTGCCCAGAGGAGCAAGCCTTCTGGCTCCTGGCAACAATATGCGAGACTCTTCTACCCGACTATTACAATACCAGGGTAGTGGGAGCTTTGGTAAGAAATTATTTCAATTCTTCTCGGCAATATTGACAATTAATGTCTTGTTTTTATGATAATTTTTGTATGTTAACTGTCTCCAGCGTGTCGTTACCATCGCGACAATAAATGAACACACATATAGGGGATAACTTTTTAAAGTTGTATTAAACATTTAAATTCTTTAAATATCAATATTTACAGAGTTATTAAATTTTCCAAAACAAAGAATTTTAGAACACCCTTACCTATAAAAGCGTAACGTAAAGTTCATTTGTAAAGGTCACAAAGCATATGAATGGGTTGAATGGATTTAAAAGAGACAAAACATACTGTTAGAAGGAGAGGCTTGTAATACGACGCTATGGCGCGAGTTGTATAGGATGTTACAAATTTCGTTTCTTTTTTACTTAATTAGTTTGTTTGACAAATATTTTTTTTAATTATGGATTTTGTTTAACGTTAATATTTTTTTTAAGATTATTGGCAAGTAGCGTTAGACGTGTCTTCATTTATTGTCGCAATGGTAACGACACGCTGTATATAGAATATGCTAACTAAACTTTAAAATCCTGAAGGAATACGAACATGTTTAATGTTATTTTATGACGATATTTGCCTAGAACCCAACAAATGCTAAAAAAACAATTAGAAGGATTTTGTCTCATTTATACGAGACCATTAAAGAAATAGCACATTTCCAAATTATTCGTACGTAAAAAAACAATTCGAAGATTTCATTATTTTCACTATATGTGATATAAAACAAAAGCTTAATATTAATCTGTATAGCCCACTGGCTACAGATTGACATCTGCAGTTAGCACCATCAATATCAGCAGAATCCCTTTCACTAAATTGATAATTTTTAGGGTTCCCTACCCAAAGGGTAAAACGGGGCCTTATTACACTCCGCTGTCTGTCTGTCCGTCTGTCACCACGCTGTATCTCATGAATCGTGATAGTTAGACAGTTGAAATTGTTCAAATTTTTAAATGTTTGTTGTCATAGCGGCAACAGAAATACATCGTGTATTTCTGTTGCCGCTATGACAACAAACACTAAAAAACGGAATAAAAAAATATTTAAGTGGCTTTCGTACATCAGACATGACTTTTTTTGCCGTTTTTATGGATAGTGTTATGGAACCCTTCACTTGCACTAGTCCAACTCGCACTTGGCCGGTTTTTATGTAAGCGACGAAAGACACGGCTGGTTCCATCATTTTAAAGTTAGCGCCATCAAGCGATAAAGACTCAGTTGGTTCCGCTTTAAGCCTGAATCGTTTTAAAGTTAGCGCCATCTCGCAGGTGGACCAGGGCGTTCTGGACGACCTGACCAAGACCCACCTGCCGGAGCTGCACGCGAAGCTTGACGAGCTGGGGATAATGAAGATGATATCGCTCTCCTGGTTCCTCACGCTCTTCATCAGCGTGATGTCGTACGAGTGCGCCGTCAACGTGATGGACTGCTTCTTCTACGACGGTGCCAAAGTCATATTCCAGGTTTGATTGGCTCTTAATTTGAACTCGTATCTCGCCTGCCTCTGTAGGTCTTTCATCTTTCAACGCTTTCCGGTAGATGGCGCTGTATCAAAGTAAACGTATATTGTACGGTCGCCACAGTCGTCGGAATTTTGGGTCGATATTTTACACTTAAGTAAGTAACAGCCTATATAAATGTACTGCTGGTCAAAGGCCTCTTATACAGCGTGTCGTTACCATCGCGACAATAAATGTTCATTTAAGTAACGTTATGTTTAAGTAGCGTTAGACGTGTGAACACACGTCTAACGCTACTTGCCAATAATCATAAAAAAATATTAACGTTAAACAAAATCCATAATTAAAAAAAATATTTTTCAAACAAACTTATTAAGTAAAAAAGAAACAAAATTTGTAACATCCTATACAACTCGCGCTACAGCGTCGTATTACAAGCCTCTCCTTCACACTGACACACGACAAACAGTATGTTTTGTCTCTTTTAAATTCATTCAACCCATTCATATGCTTTGTGACCTTTACAAATGAACTTTACGTTACGCTTTTATAGGTAAGGGTGTTCTAAAATTCTTTGTTTTGGAAAATTTAATAACTCTGTAAATATTGATGTTTAAAAAATTTAAATTTAATTTAAGTTATCCTCTATATGTGTGTTCATTTATTGTCGCGATGTTAACGACACGCTGTATAAGGCGATAAGTCAGCACTTAAAATTAATAATTTCGTTGGCGCTGGCACCGAGGATCGGACTCGGGTTGCTCGAGTATATTGAATTAAAAGCGAGCGCCCGGACACTGAGCTATCACGGCTTACAGATTACATTTATATACTTACTAGCTGACCCAGCAAACGTTGTTTTGCCATATAAATTATTTGTAGGGTAGAAAAAAATGTTTGGGGTGGACCACCCTTAACATTTAGCGGGATGAAAAATAGATGTGGTCCGATTCTCCACCCTGGCCGATATGCACACAAAATTTCATGAAAATCGGTCGAGCCGTTTCGGAGGAGTTCAATTACAAACACCGTGACACGAGAATTTTATATATTAGATCTTATTTCTTCTCCATGTTTATATACTACATTGCGTGATTGGCGTGATGCTATAGTTGACATCCTTCAACCTCAAGGTCTTTGGGCCAACACATGAGATTTATCTCTAAATGTTAGGTCATGCTACTTACCCGGATGGACCTGCCCATTCGTGCAACGGGTAAAACTGCTACCGCTTTTATTGTTGTTGTTGTTACTGTTATTACACCATTCGCTTCCGTCAGGTGACGCTCACGATCCTGGACATCAACCGCGAGAAGCTGCTGAAGTGCGCCGAGGACGGGCAGGCCATGCAGGTGCTCAGCGAGTACCTGGAGGGGATCTACAACGAGGAGGCGATGGCGCTCTCCACCGAGCCCAGGACAGCCGAGAAGGTGACGGATCTGTCTTTTTTCGACTTTTTAGGGTTCCGCGCCCAAAGGGTAAAACGGGACCCTATTACTTAGTCTCCACTGTCTGTCTGTCCGTCTGTTGATTTTTTCACAGATGATGTATTTCAACAAATACTAAAAAACTGAATATTAAATGTTTTAGTGGATCTCCTATACAAAAGATATGATCTTTTGGGGTTTTTTAGGTAATGGTAAGGAATCCTTCGTGCGCGAGTCCGACTTGCACTTGGCCGCTTTTTAAAACATCGTGCTTACTGTAGGTAAACATTATTTGACGTGGACAGACACCCAGACCCGAAACAGTTGTTTTCTTATTTTCTCTATGAGAAGATGTCAATCGAGCTCTACAGACTATGTTCTACCAAACTTAATATACTATGTTAATATAATATATAATATATAATATAATATATATGTTAAGATTTTCGTCGGTGTGGTAATCAGCCGTTTAGCTCAGTGGCTAGAGCGTCAGGCCGCGAATGCCGAAGACGTGGGTTCGATTCCCACAGCGGCGACAATCTTTTCGCACTTTTTCTACATATTTTAATGTTCAATCTTAAGTGCAAAGATTAGCACTATAAACAATTTAAAGTGGCCCCGCAGGCTGTTGCACGAAGTGGCAGGTCCGTCCGGGTAAGTACCATGACCTGCCCATGTTACACTTCCCCGTTTCGTTTGATGAGTGGGCTAGCCGAGGTCTACTTTATCGTAAGGTGGCAACGCATCTGCACGTGATAAGTCGGCACTTTAAATCCACAATTACAATCATTGGTGCCGACACCGGCGATCAGTTTGCGTTCAGAACTCAGTTTGCGTGTGTACTCGTATATTGAATTACAGGCGAGCGGCCGGACATTGAGCCAGCCGTGATAGCTCAGTAAATGTAATATATATAGACGTATAACAATTGAAATTCCACGTTTCAGACGATAAACGTCCAGGAGCTGGTGTACAAGTCGTACCGCTCGTACGGCGCTGTGGTGAGCGGCGAGTGCATAGAGCACCTGCGGCTAAAGCACCGGCTGCGGGTGGTGCGCCAGCTCGAGGACAGCCTCGAGAAGAACACGCTCCGCGCGCTGCAGCAGGACCGCCTCCTCGACCCGCATGAGCTGCAGGTGACCGGCCTCCGTTGGCAAACCCCACCCATATTAACTCAACAGCTGATCGACGTATTAAATTGTCCAAAACAAAACGGGCAACGTTAGTAGTTTTTGCTATTCGGACGTCAGATTGTTATTAGAGCGGCTACATAAGTTCCACTGCATGCGTGAATGAACGGCAACGAATTTGGCTTATCATTATGTATGTAATGGTTTTTTTTAGGACAATTGTATATCTAAGAAACGGCTTAAAATATTTCTAAGATGCTTATTTATCTGAATTCTGCCATTCCGGCAGCTCAATTATAACAATAATCTTTGTAAAGTGTAGCTTGTAACGTCACAGCTATAAATTCCAACCAGTTAAGTAGGCAGCAAAACAGATATATTTGAAATAATATTTATTTACATGTGAGTTTGGTATTCAAAGCATGGAAGCAAAAGTTTTAATCGGAATATAGCGCTTCAATTCCGCTAATTTCTGTATCACTCTGAGTAGTCATCGCCATCATCATCACTACTACTTTCTACTATAAATGCCACATCATTGGTAGGTATTTAAAATATTCTATCGAATGGTATTTAAAAGAAGTATAAGCATTTTATTACCTATCCATACTAATATTATAAATGCGAAAGTAACTCTGTCTGTCTCGCTTTCACGCCAAAAGTACTAAACCGCTTTAAATGAAATTTGGTACACAAATAAGCTATTTTTTAATTGAAAAATTTTTTAAACGAAGATATTATTATTTAAGGGCTTCAAAGCGAGCGAAGCCGCGGGCGAAAAGCAAGTGTTTATAATAAAACTAAAACCGGTCAGTTAAACAATGAAAACAGAAAACTGTTTTAAATTATTTTTTAAGTCTAATTTTTTATAAATATATTACAAATTTATTTTCTTTGCAAGTCGTACTTTCGAATATCAGCTGACGGATCCGATATCTGAGGTCATTGACGTTCCTATACCTATTTGTAACTCCTGTTGTTGTTGTATCTCTTGTAACTTGTCCTGTTTCTCACTCCCCAATGGACCCCCAGGAGCTGCTGAGCCTGATCCGCGAGGAGCTGTTCTGGGCGAAGCGCGTGCCCTGCGAGCGTCTGGAGGCGCCGTACGAGGCGTACAGGCTGGACTACGCACAGTTTAAGACCCTGTTCGGCGCACTGTCGCCCTGGGCCAAGGGCGAGTACGCCGACGCCATCACCGTCAGGATGTTCAAGGTAATGGGGATTTTGACCCTTTCGGGGTCCATCGCCCTTTAGATGCTCAAGTTGGATTGCGCCAAATTAAACTCTTACCGTATATGGTTTTTAAGAGGATAAAGCTTATAGGATCACATACGTTTTTATCTAGCCTTAAATTAGTCAGAAACGGGTTGTTGAATCAGGTTTCAAAGTTTAAGGTTAATGCAGCCATTTATACCGGCCATTTATGCCGAGACACAACAGTACAGATAATTTGCTGTGGGTCTTTCGTGGCAACGGCAAAAACTGCATGAAGGTGGGTAGTGGCATCTTGTGGGCTGATGGACCAATACGAGTCGGGACTGAGAGTGGCGCAGAGCTAAGTGATTTCTGCTGTAATGCCGACCTTTAAGAGGCTTATCTTTTTATTAGGACTAACAATCATCAGCCGAAACGCAACAGTCGACTAGTAGTAGACGCTTACGGCGGCTTGTGGGCAGCTGGTGGGCCACGTTCTGAGCGCTAGGGCTTAGTGACTGCTGCCGTGTCGCCGACTTTTAAAAGGATAAGAATAGGACGGTCTAACTCATCAACCGAACCGAAACGGTAGAGATGGTTCGCTGGGCGCCCTTGCGGTCTTCCGCGGCAACGGCAGCAATTTCGAGTAACTTGTTGGCAGCTCGTGGACCACGACGGGTAGGAGCTGAGAGTGGCACTGGGGCTGAGGGATTGCTTTCGCGTCGGCCTTTAAGAGGCTTATCCTCTTTAAAAGTCTCAAACGCAACAGTAGACTAGTAGTAGATGCCTTCGGCGTCTTGTGGGCAGCTGGTGGACCACGACGGGTAGGGGCTGAGAGTGGCGCTGGGGCTGAGGGATTGCTTTCTGCTGATTGCGCCGGCCTTTAAGAGAGAGGCACACCCTCTTGCTGGGGCTAACGCTTACGGCGTCCCGTGGGCAGCTGGTGGACCACGACGAGGACGGGCTGGTGAGCGCGCGCGGGCTGAGCGTGGCGCTGGGGCTGAGCGCGCGCGCGGAGGCGCAGCGGCGCCTGCGCGCCCTCTACTGCGCGCACGCGCCGCCGCTGCTCTCGCCGCTCGACCTGCGCCCCGCGCACTACACCGACACCGGCGAGGAGCTCGCCGCGGACGCCATCTCCTTCTTCGACAGGTGGCCGCCTCGCTCGGCTTACACTCACCCGAGGAAAGGCATCATAGCGGGGGGAACCCCCGCACGTCCACTTTGGTGTGGTTACACCAAAATTAGAGCCTTTAACGGTGGTAGGGCCACGCAGCAGCCTCGGCTGTTGCACGAATGGGCAGGCCCGTCCGGGTAAGTCAGACCTCACAGAAGACCAGCGTAAAGTGGAATTATGACAAATACTTTCGCGTTTCGTCTGGTGAGTGAGGTAGCCGGAGCCCAACTATCAAAAGGTTGCCAACGCATCTGTAACCCTTGGGTGTGGCAGATGTCCATGGGCGGCGGTATTCACTTAACATCAGGTGAACCGTCTGCTCGTTTGACAACTTTTCGCATAAAATAAAAATAAAATAAAAATCACGATCGAGACTGTGTAATCGATTTCGTTTTGGTCGGCAGTCACTTAAATGAGATTCTATTTCGAAACCCCGGTCATTCGCAACGACACTTTCGCGTTTCAAAGTGTTTTTTTTTTGTTTTGCAGCTCGGAAGATTAGTGTACACGTCGTTAACGAAATTCGAACTAAAAAATTCACTATTGGCGTAATCATAAAAATAATTATTTTAATACTCATCGGCCGCTTAGTTTACTACTACTAGGCAGGTTCAAATCCCGCAGCGAAAGTTTTTGTTCGTTTATCTACAAAAATGTACAATTTAATGTTTCATCTCAAGTGCAGAGACTACTAGCACTATAAAATAAAGATGAAATTTAAAAACAAAACTGTAGTAAATTGTGTTTGACTTCGCAGCATGGACAGCTCTACTTCTCCGGAGCCGAATGTTAATCCGGGCATGCACCGCTCCATAAGCGAGATTTGCTACGATGGCAGCTACATGGACAAGTCTACAGACAGCACCTCCAGTCAACAGGGTAATTTTAAATCGAGCACTGCTTCTATATTCCCCTCGACTCAGAGCTGGATATTAGTAAAGTTAATTTCCTCAATTGCGTTTCATTATTAATGATTAAATGCTATAGAGTCATGTAACAGTTTTTGCTGTTGCACGATTGGGCAGGCCCGTCCGGGTAGTGCCACGACTGGCGAAAAGTGTAAGTGTAAATACTTCTGCGTTTCGTCTGGTGAACGAGATAACCCGGGCCGAATTTACAAAAGGCAACGCATCTGCGACACTGCGGGTGTTGCAAACGTCCACGGGCGACGATTATCATTTAACACGAGGAGAGCCACCGGTTCGCTTGTCTCTTTCCCACCTTAAACCGTCTCCATATAAATAACATATGTTTTATTTACGATTGCCACAACTTCCGGACGCCATATATGGATACTCTATCGCATTACAACAGTACTGTGGGAAAATAGTACTAACACACGTTTGCGTTTACGCGACAGAGAGCGAGGCGGCGGCGGTGCGCGCGTGCGCCCTGGCCGGTCTGGCGGCCGGCGGGGGCTCCCCTGGCAGCCCCCCGCGGCCCCCCCCGCCGGCGCCCCCGCTGCCCCGCGCGCACCTGCTGCGCCTGCTGGCCGCCCTGCACGGCCTCACCGAGCACAGCGGGCCGCTCTACGAGGCGGTGGCGCGCGCGGGTAAATGTCCCTTCCCCCCTATCGGCCTCACCCTTCCGCGCACAGCGGGCCGCTCTACGAGGCGGTGGCGCGCGCGGGTAAATGTCCCTTCCCCCCTATCCATCCGCATGTATCCCCTTCCCCGTCATTCGATGGCAGCGGTGATTGCCCCCTTTCCTTCGCATATACTCTACGAGGCGGTGGCGCGCGCAGGTTAATAATCCTCCCCCCTCCCGCCCCTTATCTGTCCGCATATATCCCCTCTCTCGTCTTCCGATACCACCGGTGTCTGTCCCCCGTCCATTCCATATATGTATAACCCCCCACCCATCCGCATATATCCGCCTCCTTCCTTCCGATGGTACCGGCGACTGATCCACGCCTTCCCCCCATCTGTCCGCATATGTACCTATATCCCCCATCCGTATGCATATATCCCCCCCCCCCATTCGACTAAGTACTACTTGAAAATATGTATTTTTATAGACATCTTTAGGCCAAAAATGGACATCGTCGTTTGCCACGAACTGATGGATAAAATCTTCTCCCATTTGCAGGCACCTTGCTGCTACAACTGGGCGAGATGACGCATCGACCTGAGTTGGGCCGCGAGATATCGCAGGACAGCCTCTTCCTAGCTGCTGCAGCGAAACAACCCGACTCCGCTCAGGTGCTAATATTCATAAGTTCGTTATAGTAAATTAATTGCTAAAAATGTAAAACAAAAGTTGACAGATTTTCGCGCAGTAAGGATATCGGTCACTTAGCTCTGTTTGCAGGGCGCGTCACCGTGATGATGCATCTTTGAATGCTGGCAGTGCTAAACATTATTTAACCATGTATTAATGGAAAGTTGTTATCAGGATCTTGCATATCAACTCTTACAAATATTGCCACTCAACCGAGTTCCAATAGTAGGGCGTTACTCCACTATTAAAACTAACTCCACTTAACTCCACTATTAAATCGAGGGACCAACATATCCTACATTTTTAAATCCCGAAACGCACAATATATTCCATATTGGTGTCGTTGAAGTATTATATAGAAATATTTGAGTAACGTGTACCGTGTGTGTAAATCTTTGAATAATATATGACTATAGTGAATGTTCAAACAATCGACTTCCATCGCAGCTGGACCCCAACGGCAACAAGACGGCGGATCGGGAAGCATCGACCCAACAACAAGCGTCACCTTTAAAGGAAAACGAGCCTTCGTCCGACGGCGAATGGTTCATAACCCTGGAGCAGTTCCTAGCCACGATGCTCTCGGAGCCCGCTCTTGAGGAGTTCTTCAATAAGCAAGTACCACTTCTGCCCAAACTCGAAGCGCTCCGGCAAAGAGACCGATCACAGTCCGTATCCTAAATAATACCATGTTTCCAGAAAAACATGTTCTATAATCATCTCACAAGGTACACATGTTTCACGTGCATTTAGTTATGTTTTCCATCTTTCATATTTACTATTGATGAAATTTAAAGAGAAAAATATCCTTGTATCATTTTAACAAATAAATATCTAGGGCAATTGTTCAAATAAATAGTGTATTTGAACCATTGCTTGGATATCAATATTATTTAAAAATTTCCAATATTATAATACCAATATTATTTAAATACAACATTTTTAGTTCATTTTAAATTCTTTAGCTACTTTCGAAGGGCGCAAGGACATAACTTTAAAATTTGTTGTTTTATTTTCACATTAATGAGTTGGAAGAGAAGCTTTGTGGTATAAGTTTAGACAATAACAAACAATTATAATTGTATGGAATCAAATATAATTTTTTCGTGTTTTAAAAGGGTCTTTTTGGCAACTAGTTTCTTTCTTTAGACATGTTGATTTGTAATTCCTTTACATTCCAAATTGAATAGTTAAGATTATTTGGTAAAAAGCTTATTTGTTTATATCTTGTGAATTCATATGTTTGTATAATTATAAAGCCATATTAGGTTATAAGTATAAAATAAATTGCACTGAAAAAAATGATGTTCTGTAAGTTACCATTTCGGCATGTAAACAAATTGTATTTCACTATAAAAAGTTTTTGGGTATACAAGTTACAGGATGATTTTATTGAGTACAAAAATAATATATTCAATTTTGCTACATGAACCATAAAATGTATGATTTACATGTAATTTTAAAATTTATTTTGGTAGTTTAACTAAAGCTAAAATATTTTAGTTTAAGCATAATAAGGTTTAGGTATAAAAATTTTGCAAATCAAATTATTTTTTCATATTTGTATGTAAGTAGAAAATTTTTATCCCTCATATAAATGCGTGTCATACTTATACTAACCTATACATCAATAACTTTTATTCCTTTTTTTATCAACACATCTTAAGTAACTGATTTGCACATAAATAAACATAATGCAGATTATACAAAAGTAATGGTTAAAAATCCTTATATGGGTAGTATTGGCAATGAGGTTGCCTTAAGCAATAAAAGTTAATCTAGGGTTAGCTTATTGCTATAAATAAGAGCTTGAGTAAAGTTATGTAATATTAATGTTATTATAGCCTAAAATGCTTATTGGTATCTAAGCCCTTTAGCCAAGTGCTTAATAAATTTGAAGAGAAATGTTTTGAGTCATTTTTATTTATTGGATAAAGGCCCTTAATATTTGTAACATGTAATCTTTTGGTATATTCGACGAATATTTTCAATACGAAATTTTCATAAATGTAAAAATCGAAATTAAGTTTTGAAATTGTCTTATTTCCATTTCATAAAATGCTCAAAATATTTCCAAAAACCGTGTAAAGCGTTTCTCATAGTGCTTGACATACGTAATCAATGGTGCTTGCAGAAATAGAAATACAATAAAACTTTTAATATCTTTCACATATTGTATCTATTCTAAAATATTTTTACACCATATAAATTAATGTGACAGTTTTTCGATTTACTGTAAGAAAACCCAAGTCGTGATTTATAAGCGAAATTAAATATATTGGCGCTTCGAATTTTAGATATCGATAATCAATAAAACGTTTTAACGTTTCTGTTATGACATCCGCTTTTAAACTCATATTTTTAGGAACTAAATATGGGTAAAGTATTTACCAATACCATGAATTACCATTCACTTAATACGTTGAATGAAGTCTAAATCGAATTTACGACATACCTAACACGCACTTCTATATAACTATTGATTTATTCCTACTTTTAATATAAACATTTGATAACCCATGTTTCGAGTGTTTGTTTCATTTCTTACAGTTTCTAATAAATTTAACACAACTGTTTGTAATTTACAAATAAACAAATTGTAGCTTTGTATATATAATTCTACATAAAAATAGCAGTTTCTCACAGATAATAAAATTACGCTATAATACTTTTTATCTAATAATAGTAACTATTTGAAGAAATTGTTCACTAACTCTCGTTGCATTAAAGCTTGCGAATTAAAGAAAATTTATATAATCGGCATAAAATAGGAATTGAAAGTACTTGCAGACAATACAAGTTGTATAAGGATATATATACTTACACCTCATTTTATTTTTAGTGATAATATAGTTTATGCGTAATACAGCAGTAATCATATTTAAAAGTAAGTACTTTTGTAAGTTTCATCATGGACTTAAAGTATCTTTAGTTGCTGATTCTAGGTTGATATGATATTACGTTATTAATACTGATTGTCTTAGAATTTCGTTCGTTCATTCGTGTCTAATCCCTAAAAATATTAAAAGGTGCCTTTTTCAATGCGTATCCCAATAATTTCAATAAGTTTTCCGTTATTTTATGAATTTTTCGCATCCTGCACAATTACAATTCTTTAGCATAAGATTTAAAATGTAATTTTAAGTTTAACGGCCATAAGTACCTATGTTTCTCTAAACATGCAAATATTACCGAATAAATAAGTTTGTTTTGAAACGTTGTTTTTGTTTACCGACTTCAAAATAGAAGGATGTTTCTCAATTCGACCCAATATATTTTTATTTTTTTTATGTATTCGCGTATGTTAAGAGCTGTGATAACTCAGTGTCCGGGCTTTCGCCTTTAATTCAATATACTCGAGGAACCTGAGTTCGATCCCCGGTGCCGGCATCAATGAAGTTTTTAACTTTAAGTGCTGAATTATCACGTGCTCCGCGGTGAAGGAAAACATCGTGAGGAAACCTGCAAATTTTCGAAATAATAACAAAAAAAATATATTTCGAAGATATGAGAAGTCCGCCAATCACCGCCAAAGACTGGTGTAAAGTTGCAGTATTTCGCAGTTCGCGTTTCGCGTTTTGTCTGGTGAGTGAGGTAGCCCAATTTCCAAAAAGGTTTTCAACACATCTGCATACCCAGAATTAGTAAGCTGAAGAATATAGCCCGAAGAATCGCAATGGGGAAGAAAGGTTTTAAGAGTGGCGGCCTCGTATTGGCTATCATAGCGTAGTAGTAGTATCATATTGTAATAGTAGTGTAGTACGACCTTTCACTAAATTGAATGACGACCTATGCCAATGTGCAGGTGGCTCAGGATCGTACTTTATGGCATTATAAAAGCGGTAAAAAGGAAAGTGAGAACTTAAAAGCCGTCGTATGGAGCACACACAAATCGACCACTGACACTGGATAACATTTTTCCCGTCTTCAGGGCTGAGACATTCAAAGTCAAAAATTTCTTTACTAAATATGGGTTTGTTAAGCTCATATCGAACTTCAAAATTCAACATTTCACTACACTCTTTGTAATTTACGGAAAATAGATATAATGTTTAGGGGTTTTAATGACGCCTGTTCAGATCCGTTCCTTAAACTGTGCACGCGTTATATCGCCGAGTTTTGATCTTATTTGTTAAAGGTTTCAATCTACAAAATTCAGAAATGAATGCACACATTTACTACAATGCTTTTATTAAACATCACATGGTCTATATTACAAAATATTAGTAACAGATTAAAAATATTTACCGTCGATGGATTACTTTTAGTCACGACTATGTCTTAATCCATTTTCTGATAAATTTCAAATCAACCGTAAAATAATTATTTAGGGCTTATTTTCAAAACCCAAGCATCTTGTGAAATAACTCCTGCCTTATCCGGAAGTTCAATGTTCGCTACACCATTTTTGATTTTCCACTGAAACACAATAACAAATTCATTAACACTATCATTGGAAATACCTTTTATAACGGTTTGTTTCGCAGGTTCTTCGACTTGTTGTGTATTAGGAAAAAGTCTACCACGCGATCCCACCATTGATTACGAGATTTCACATATCGACGAAAATATTTTTTTTATTATTATTTCGAAAATATGCAATAATACTACTCTATTAATCATCTGTGAAAATTACAACTGTCTACCTATCACGGTTCATGAGATACAGCCTGGTGACAGAGGGGCAAACAGAAAGACAGCGAAGTCTTAGTTATGGGGTCCCTTTACTTTTTGGGACCTTAAAAAAACTAGCGCCTGGTTTAAATAAATGAAGGAATGCCAACAAATCCATAATTAGATATGAATTACTTGAGTTTTTTTACCATTCCTCCATTTATCCCTATTTCATTGAGCCTAAATAAAGAAAAAAAAGTTAAACATTTTTTTAAGCTTAGTGTTCGTTGATTGTATTAAATTTGGAAAATTAAGAAGTAAAATAAAATATATATTAAGCCAATGAACATACGGGCACGTAATCCCATTATTTCCTTTGTCTATAAAAACACTGAGATATGTTATCTTATAATTAGGTAAATTGAATTTATTTAAAGCTATATTATTAAACATAATAAAAAGCGTTAACTATCATATAAATGAAGTTAAGTGAATAAATAAACAAAGCAAAAAATTATTAAAATTGCGAAGACAATTATATAATAATTCCAAACAAGAATGTTACTCCGCCGACTTATCCACTGCGACTATCGCACCGTTCGCAATATTGACGGAGTGAATACATAAATACATTTTTTATCGCATTTATCCACAAGTGATTACAATTGCCAATATGTCAATTCCAGCACTCGACGGTCGCGCTCAATTGACTCGATAGCACATTCGATACGATAACGCAGCACTTAACCCGGATAACTCACACTAAGTATGCCTTGGTTGCCCAACAGCTCGATGTTGTGCAGGTAAGGGGCTACGTCGCTCAGTTGCAGGATATTGCCCACTGGCCACGCGAGGCTCAAGTGACTTGATGACACTTACATACGACAACGTAGCACTTAACCCGGATAACTTACGTTAAGGACGCCTCGGTTGCCCAACAGCTCGATGTTGTGACCGCCGCTGTGCAGGTAAGGGGCTACGTCACTCAGTTGCAGGATATTGCCCACAGGCCACGCGAGGTATATGGCGAATATCGCCTTGACGTCGTCGTTTTCTCTTGGCCCGGCTGTGGGGTGGCGGACGCTGCGTCTGGCCTTAGAGCATGTGTACCAAACGTCGCTATTTAGCGAGTCGTTCTGGTGCGACCAGGGCGAGCTTCCGTAAATCGCCTCGCCGTTCAATTTCAGCCAGTTGCCGACGCTGAGGAGGCGCTCCTGGAATATGGGCGCGATCGTGCCGTCCTGCGTCGGCCCCACGTTTATCAGGGCGTTGCCTGCAACGTTGCAACTTAGCTGTACGAGGTTTAGTGTAGTCACAGTCTACTGCAATCGCGACAGTTCTGCTTTTTGTTGACTTGAATCAGGGATTGTTTTTTTTTTATTATGTACTAGCGACAGGGCCACACTTAGATGTCTGGGGTCTCGGTGAACAAAGGAGTGGAGCCCCTTGGCCCCAAATTATTTTCTATTGATTTCTGTTAATATTTAATGTAATCATGTTTGTTCAAAGTACTGTAGGTAAAAGTAAAACGCGAAAAAAATATGAAGGGAAAAGTTGTTTACTATTGTTTACTAGTCTACATTTGATTTTTTTTCTCCGAAGTCTCTATTGTGGGGGCCTCTCGTCCCTAGCCTCGGGGCTATTGCCCCGGTTGCCTTCCCCTAAATCCGGCCTTGACTAGCGACCCGCCTCGACTTCGCCAATGTATTATACATATAAACCTTCCTCGTGAATCACTTTATATAGTAAAAAAAACCGCATCAACCATTTTAAAGATCTAAGCATACATAGGGACAGACGGACAGCGGGACGACTTTGTTTTACTATGTAGTGAAGAAGGTGGTAAGCGAGCTGACAGTCCACCTGATGTTACGTGATAACCGCCCATGAACATTTGCAACACCAGACGCGTTGCAATCTTTTAGTAAAGTCCACAATAATATAAGGACCTCGGTTATCTCACCAGATGAAACGCAGATATAACGCATCTACTCCGGTCTTCTCTCAGGTCATGGTGCCTCCGCGGGCGGACCTGCCCATTCGTGCAACAGAGAAGACTGTTGCGTGGTCCAACCGCAGTAGAAGATTGCTGCCAGAGACCTAAACTTTTTGCAAATATTGTATTATACTTTTTCGTGCAATAATATAATGTACTATACACGTAAATGAATTAAGAATTCTTGTACTTTGGATTAATTATAAAGTTTCCTCAAAAATCGATCCCGTAGCAAAACCGGTTTTTTGTTTTTTGTTGTTTTCCCAACGACCACTGCGATCTAGACAATCTACAGTAGTCTTTTCTTCGAAAACATTGTTTCTGTAAGGACGTTTTACATACATAAATTTCACGTGGACAAACAACTAGATCCGAAAAAATCATGTGTGGGAATTGAACCCACTACCACCGACGCCGAAGCCCAAGACCTTGCCAACTGCGCCAAGGAATCATACCGCCCATACTATAATGGGACGGAAAGACGGACACCGGTTATTCTATACGCAATAAATGAGCGCGTGGCATGTTCACAGCAAAAGAATAGACAAAAAGATAAAAGCGGATGAAAAATGTATACAAATAAATGTTTAATATGGGTTGGCGTTTAATAGTCTTTACTCACCTCCACAACTGACGGTCGAGACGATTTCGTACAAGATTTCATTTGTAGTAAGAGTGTCATTCAGGTTCATAGTCTTCCGAAAACCCCAGGACTTTCTATCGATGGTGAAGGCGTTCTCCCATTTGTGGTTTTGAAGTGCGCCTGAAAGGATTTTGACATTTTTTTCGTTGTGACATAAAACAACGTTAACCGCTTTATTGTGCGACGTCTATTTAAAAAAAAACAACATTTTCTCTAGTACTGGTAAAATATTGTCTCTGCGAGTTTACGTATTTATAAATTTATTATTTAGTATGCCCTCAACTAGTATTAGCTTTACTTAGTTTAGAATGAAATAACATACATAAAAATACGTCCAGAAATATTTATTATATTATATGTTTATTGTAGTGTAGGACGACCCCCCACTAGATGGAGTGACGACCTGTGCAAATGTGTGGGAAGTCGACGGATGCAGGTGGCTCAGGATCTTACTTCATAGCAGTCTGTGGGGGAGGCCTATGTTCAGCAGTGGACTCGAACAGGCTGAAATGATGATGATGATGATGATGATGATGATGTATATTGTGACAAATTTTAGAAAAGCATTTATTAGTTTTTGTACATGGTAAGAGCATGATAATAATTTGTGGCTTCACGAAAACATTACGCCAATCGTTTTACTGTAAACATACACGATGACGGTGGAGAAACTTAAAACGGTCACAGACTGTATTTTGTATCTTGTATTAACTGATGTTTTTGCTTTCAGTCCCGAGACTATTAAAGCTTCGTCTGACGCAGAACCGGTGGGCTAGCCAGAACCCACGGGTGGTCACAGCCTGCGATAGTCATGAAGAACTATTATACAGCGTGTCGTTACCATCGCGACAATAAATGAACACACATATAGAGGATAACTTTTAAAAATTGTATTAAACTTTTACATTCTTTAAACATCAATATTTACTGAGTTATTAAATTTTCCAAAACAAAGAATTTTAGAACAGCCTTACGTATAAAAGTGTAACGTAAAGTTCATTTGTAAAGGTCACAAAGCATATCAATGGATTGAATGAATTTAAAAGAGACAAAAAATACTGTTAGAAGGAGAGGCTTGTAATGCGACGCTGTGGCGCGAGTTGTATAGGGATGTTACAAATTTTATTTATTTTTTACTTAATTAGTTTGAAAAATATTTTTTTTTAATTATGGATTTTGTTTAACGTTAATACTTTTTTTGATTATTGGTAAGTAGCGTTAGACGTGTGTTCATTTATTGTCGCGATGGTAACGACACGCTGTATATACTATTGCGGAATAATCTGAATCGGAATGCGGAATCTTGACGACGCCAATGTGTGGGGTTAATACTGTTAATACTCACGTAGGCTAAAACAAGACTATTATACCAATATATTGTAAACTGACCTTTTAAAAAAGAGCAACCGTTGAGTTTCTTGCCGGTTTCTTCTCAACAGAAACTGCTTTCCGAACCGGTGGTAACTTACGAACGTGTTAACTTCTTTGCAAAATTTTGACGTTCCATAAGAACGCGCAAGCGTCTATGTGAATAAAGATTTATTATTATTATTATAACTCACCGGGGTTGTACCTGTCCGCGCAGTTGTAGAAGTCGCCGTGGTGGCAGGGGATGCCTATTCCCCACCGATCGTTCACGACGATCTCGTCCCTGACGGGGCTGTCGTTGTACAGCCAGGCGAGGAACTCGGTCGAGCGCCAGTACGAGTCGTACGCCTCCCAGTCGCCGTCGGACCACAGCACGGACGGCTCGTAATCGTGTATCAGCTGCCTCAAGTCCGGCCAAAGCTTCAGGTCTGCGTAGTTCCGCGCCGTGAAGTTGCTCCGCCTGTCCTCTTCGTAAATAGGGTTGTACCATTCGTACAGCGAGTGGTACACGCCGAACCGAAGGCCCGCTTCCCTCACCGCCTTGGAGAGGTCGCCCACTATGTCCCGCTTGGGGCCCACCTCGTAGGAGTTCCAGCTGAAGGAGCGCTTGGAGGGGAACAACGCAAAACCGTCGTGGTGCTTACTGGTGAGGACCACATATCTGTAGGAAGAGTGCATGTGATTGTCATGTCAATGTACCAGCTATCCGCGATAGTTCAGTGTCCGGGCGCTCGCCTTTAATTTAATATACTCGAGCAACCTGAGTTCGATCCCCGGATGAAATTCTTAATTTAAATTAAGTGCCGACTTATCACGTTCTCAGCGGTGAAGGGAAACATCGCGAGGAAACCTGCATATTTACGAAATAAGAAAAAAAATTCGAAGATATGTGAAGTCCGCCTATTCGCAGTGGGGCCGCGTGGTAGCCTATGCCCTGATATCCTCTGACAAATACTTGTCCCGTGTTTAAATCGAACCCACTTCCCCCGGCGTCGAAGCCAATAGCTTAGCAACTGTGCCATCGAGTCTTACGCTTATCATCTCATATTTTATCAAGATTGTCAAGTAGTTTATTTGACTATTAAATAATTAAATTTACATGTAATTTATTAGTGAGAATCACAGAAGTCACCTGGCGCCAGCTTTTGCAAACAAATCGGCCCATTGGCCAGGGTCGAAGAACTCAGCTTTGAACATGGGCGCGAAATCTTGGTAAGTGAATCCCGGTGGATAGTTCTCCGCCATGAACTCTTCAGATTTCTTATCACCTCCTAAAAACGAGATTTAAAGAAAAATAGGCAGTCTTTTGGAACAGTATTAAAATGAAAATTGTATAACATTTAATTCTACATATTTTATAGGCACTCCGAACGATAATAACATTATATCATATCCATGACTACAAATATATTTTTGCGTTTTCTCTTTTTCAAAATAGCTCATGGAAAGCGTTCGTTGACGATGGCGCGAGTTCCATTATTTTTGCTCATCCAAAAAGTGCTCACCGCGCCTAGAGAAGATTTCACTACAAAAATAAATCAGTTTCGTTTACCTACTGAACTATAATCTTATATTAGCAGTACCTTTCCAATTACTCCAGAACCATTCCGACGAAAACCCGGGTACCGAGTAAACGCCCCAGTGCAGAAAGATACCGATCTTGGCCTCGTCGTACCATCTTGGCAATGGTCTGGTATCAAGATCGTTCCAGTCCGGAGCGTACTTGGTTGGTCCACGGCGGGATCCAACGTGGCGCGGCCGCTCCCTCTCAATTACGCTATAACAACTGCCAAACGAACACAGCACGAACAAACCGAGAGAAGTCGTCTTCATGATTCTGCAACATTCATAGCATTTCTAAATTTTATATCGATTGTTTTCATGAAACTTGCAAAGTTCAAAGTGCGAGCATACCAAGTGCACTTTGAAAATAAAAACGATTCATACTTATCTCATTAGTACTTTAAAGGTGATAGTCAAATAAAAGTTAAAAACAAATTGCTAAGTAATATAATTATTATAGAAATTGCTACGAATCGAATGGATTCATACATTAATTTGGCTAACATATTAATGATTCCTTAGAAATGTTGTATATAACACAAAAAAGGTTTTTCTATTACATGTGATTTTTGAAATATCCATATATAGGAACTAATAACCAATATCATACTAAAATCACAAATCACAAAGTCAAGTTACCTCTACGCCTTTAAGCTATTGTTATAATTACTAAAATTATATAATATATTATACAGACCTTATTAATTCTTAATTGCACAAAAGATCACATCACACACGTTAAATCCGGACACACGCATCCAAAGTTATAATTAACAAATTAATAGTACACAGTGGTTTTTACCGCCTTTGTTGTTTACTGTAATTCTTTGCTATTAATGCTTATATTGAGCCGTTACGTTAATTTATGAGTTAGGTGTTGCATGAAATAAGTTTGTATTATCGTTCAATAGCTTTATGTTATCTCAAAATGAAGTGACTTCAAATAACGTTGGTGTTAATTATCTCACTGTAGTGTTCGTACGTACATAAGATCAATAAATAAAAATCATACGACGGGTCACGGGATAGAAACCTTTGTACTGAGAATTGATTGTTGTTTGCGAGTTCGTGAGTTGTAACAGATAGCACTTATAGCCCGTCGCCTGTTGAGCACTTGAGAGAGAGAGAGAGAGAAAGATACTATAACTTTTTAATTCTTATTTGTCGTATCTTTTATGCACCTGCATTGATCTGTAATTTCGGCTGAGTTCATGTATATTAGAAATCCGTATGCTTTTCTTTGCATTTTTAATTAAATAAACGAGTTTCTGTAATTTATATTTCTATTTTCTATAAAATTGGTCACGCTTTATATAATTTCAAGCAGTATTTTTTTTGTTACTATATTACTACCTACCCTACTATTACCCGCCCCGGCTTCGCACGGGTACAATGTATATATAATAAACCTTTCTCTTGAATCACTCTATCTAGTAAAAAAACCGCATCAAAATCCATTGCGTGAGTTTTAAAGATATAAGCATACATAGGGACAGACAGACAGCGGGACGACTTTGGACTTTTTAATAGTATGTACTGATTATTAAGAATATTTTTATTTTTTTAGAAATTTAAATTGTTTATAGTGCTAATCTTTGCACTTAAGATTGAACATTAAAATATGTAGTTTAGTAGTTCGAATTATCGTTGTAAAACGATATTCGAAGTTGTTTGTATGCTGGAAAGGATATAACAATCACAGCAAACGTGTCATATTAACGGTATCATAAACTTAGGACAGCTTCGAAACTGTCTTTAACATGTTGCGTTAAGCAATAGTTGGGATTCTTGTTTTAAAAACCACGCGTTAGTATTTTAACAATCTGGATTTAGATAGACTCGACACTCGACAGAAATCTACAGATGTCAAAAAACGGACCTAGAAACACTGCGCCGCATCTTTCAAAAGGCGCCATCTTATTTTATGTCAAAATTGTTTTTTGCATCTGTTTTTTAGCGCCCTGTTTTTGCTACCTCTGGCACACCCCAGGGCTGTTTATTACGAATTCAACTCTACCTTATTTTGTAGTTTCCGTATTTATTATAAGCGTTAAAAACTCGAGGTTAAAAATAAAGCTATCATTTAAGCTGAGACAAAAAAAAACAAAAAAGATGTGTTTGTATAATTGATTTGATATTAAACATAATCTTGATAAGTAAATGACAACTTTTAACAGATACATTGTCTTAAAACTATCAAAAAATAAATCTTATGACCAATACTACAACGGTTTAATTTCATTTACTGGTATATTTTTAAAACCCATGCGTTTTCTGAAATAACGGTGGCTTTGTCTGGAAGCTCGATAAATGTTACACCATTGGCGATTTTCCACTGCAAAAAATAAAATAAAACGCCTATGTTATTTATTTTGCATGGTGAAAGTCCTCAAATATTCTGTTCCCGAAAATATCATACAAAACTTATTCAAATTCGTACAACTGTCACGGCGCAACAAGGAATTCTGATCCACGTACTTTTATGCAAAAATAACAGCCGATGCGATGGTAATGACGTTATATTTTTCTCAATTTTTTAATTACTGTGTGCTATTTTCTGTTTTGGTGGATCCAAAGGATAATTATTGTTTTGCTGACAAAATAATTTGCCAAACGTTTTATTTGCCAAACGTTTTAAGTCGTCATCTCGTCTGTCAGTCATCTCGATATCCGTTATAAACAGCAGTCGATTTCGTAACTAGGTCAATAACTACAATTTCAGACACATTCGGCGATGTTTAATGGAAAATTTTTGGAATAGGGAACAAAACATTCAAGAAGACCAATTGAATCAATTAGGAGACTGCAAAATTATAACAAAAACTGGCTAATAGATGCTCACTTACGTTAAGAATCCCATTTCCCAATAGCTCGATCTTGTAATCGCCCGTTTGAATTAATGCGGTCGCGTCCTTTAGCGTCAGGCGGCTATCCTTTGGCCAGGAGAGGAGAATGGCGAAGACTCCGCTAACGGAGTCGTTGGAAGCGGGCATGGCTGTAGTGTTCCGGTAGCGCTTGTCCCTCTGGCACGTGTACCAGACGTCCCAGTTAAGGGAGTCTTTTTGGTGGTGCCACGGGGACGATTCGTATATCGCCTCTCCGTTCAGCGCTAACCAATCGCCGAGGCCGAGGAGCCTCTCCTGGAATATCGGCGCTATGGTGCCGTGCTGCGTCGGGCCCACGTTTATCAGCACGTTACCTGGACACGCGTGACGTACAAACGTAGTGAGTGGGAGATTTTTGCGGTAGCGACGGCAAATTTACGGCAACTGGTGTAGATTTGCTGTCGCTACCGCAAAAATCTTCGGATTATCATCGACGTTGACGCCAATAATGCACGAAACGTCACTTCGGACTTGCGGAGGTTTGGGGATGTCGCAGTAATGCCTGAAGCGGTGACTTTTTAACAAAGTCTCTCTAGTTAGCGTGGAGAGGTGTTTTTTTTTTCTTAACTCTTAAAAAATAACGATCCGAAAACACTGAACGTATACCTTTCCTAACTTGTACAATTTATTATTGATGTTTGCGCTTTGAAGGCGTAGCCTAAAGCTTCATTTGGCACAGAACTCGGGGATTAGCTTGGTTTCCACGATCTTCGTAGACCCTACTTAAGCAGAGGCACCCATATGAGCATGCGTAGTCACGCACGCGGCCATGCACGCGTTAACGAAGTAAGATATCTCTCAATGATTAAAGGAAGGAATAGGAAACAATACCACGATGACAAAATCGCAAGTCTCGAGGATACAAGAGATTTTTTTTGACAAGGTGGATGGATATAAGACTCGAAAATAATTTACGCAAATGTACGTAAACATGAGACATATTACCTCCACAACTAATAGTTGACGCAACTTGGTACAGAATTTCCCCCATTGTCAGTGTATCATTCAAGACCATTGTCTTACGGAATCCCCAAGACTTTTTATCAATAGTAAAAGCGTTCTCCCACTTGTGTTTTTGAATCTCACCTAAAACAAAAACTTAAATAAATCAAGTAGTAAGCTTATTAAGATTTTTTCTAGGAATTAACACTGAATGGATGCAAAGGACATACTGTTAATGAGCTATTTACTTAAAGTAACATATTACACATCATATATAATCAAGGAATAAGTATAAAAACTCACCAGGATTATACCTATCTGCACAGTTATAGAAGTCTCCGTGATGACAAGGAATTCCTATGCCCCATCTATCATTTACAACAATTTCATCTTTAACCGGGCTCTCATTGTATAGCCATACTAAAAAGTCAGTTGACTTCCAGTATGTATCGTGAGCCTCCCAATCTCCATCAGACCACAAGATTGAAGGCTCATAATCAATGATGAGCTGTTTAAGGTCTGGCCAAAGCTTAGTATCAACATAATAGCGAGTTGTGAAATTGTTATTTTTATCTTCCTTATAAATGGGGTTGAACCATTCATATAGAGAATGATATACACCAAATTTTAATCCCTTTTCTCTTACAGCTTTAGACAGTTGACAGACAAGGTCCTGTTTAGGGCCAACCTCATATGAATTCCAGCTGAAAGATCGTTTGGAAGGGAACAGGGCAAAACCATCATGGTGCTTACTTGTAAGTACGACATATCTAAAAGCAGGGTATGGATTACTAAATAATGCAGTTTGACTATCAAACATATATAAGTGTCATATAAAATGGTCATTATTGTTTAAGTTAAAAACATTGAGGGTTTAAAAAATTATAGTTTTTTTTCAGGTAACATCTCCAATTTTAAGGTGTTAAATAGTATGCTTTTGTTTCATTTAAAGTTTTACCTGGGAATTTCTCACTGCAGCTAATTAGCTGTTATTTAGTTAATTAATTAATGATTATTAATATAAATACACAAAGGTTATTAAATCAATACCTAGCACCAGCTTTTAAAAAAAGGTCTGCCCATTTTTCAGGATGAAAAAACTCTGCTTTAAATATAGGTGCAAATTCTTGGTATGTGAAACCTGGGGGATAGTTTTCCTTCATAAATTGCTGTATATTTTGATCACCCCCTAGAAAAATAATGTTTAAATTTAAAATATTCAATTAATATTTAATTACAGTATTTAAATTATATATTATATTTCGTGCTAACTTAATCGCATCGACGATTTAAATTAGCACGAAACTCTGTTTTTAAATTAAGACATTAAAATAAGTTTATAGTGAACTAAAAATTCTAAGAAAGTAAGAATACTAACCTTGCCAATCGCTCCAGAACCATTCAGAGGAGAACCCAGGTACAGAATATACACCCCAATGTAAAAATATACCAATCTTTGCCTCATCGTACCAAGGTGGCAACGGTCGCGTATCTAAACTTTTCCAGTCCGGCGAAAATTTAATTTGTTTCGGATAAGAAAAATTTTGGATAAATCCCTCTGTTATAACATTACTATAAACGGAATTAACAAAGCACAACATAAAACCAAAATAAAACAGTATCTTCATAATTAATAAGATAGAAACCTAGGAGAATAATTTAAAAATTATTGTCTTTCCGCCAATTTCAAAATATCAATCGAACGTCAATCAAACTCAAACAAAATAAATATGATACGTTCAGAAACAAGTGATTTTGTGGAAGAAGTATGAAGTGTGTAAGTAACAAGTAGAAAAAGTAAATTATCAATAGATATATATAGGAAATTTATATGTAAAATAAAATGTTTTTTAATTAAGGTAGCAATTTAATTTACACTGTGCTAGATAACAATGGCTTTTTTTGTAAGTTTTATCAAGTCTTAATTTTGAGTCCGTTCAGGATACCTACTATACAACAGATATATAAAAGTACTCTTTGATATACAATTACAATCATCACCAACTTTTAAACGAAGGCAAAAACTCTTTTAAATAATTGTCATTTAACTGAGTTTTACTTTTAAATAATTGCCAATGGCTCATTTTGACTTTTTTTTAACAAAAGATCATCATTCTCCTGCCCATATCTCTTCTAGGAGCAGAAGGTACAACATGTTGTAAGCGGTTTTGACTGTGTTTTTAGTACTTGTCCCGTGTGGGAATCGAATCCACGGCCCACTGTGCCGAAGCCAAAAGCTTATCAACTGCGCCGCTGACTAACAAGATGAGGTTATCAATGATTTTCTTTTCTTTAGTCACTTCTGTCATACGCGATTCATGTAAGCAACACGGAATTTCAATTAAATTAAAAAAAAGCAGTTTAGTTGGTGATTTCTAATGTCTGTTCTTCTTTAAAGAAGTTAATTTAATGTGAACAGACGGTTAATATGTTTTGCAAAATCTACATTTGTTTTAAAATAAATACAACTTAAATTAGATTCTCTACATCGTTTTACAACTAATACAAAGCAATAGCATTTTGTGGCAGTCTTTTTTTTAAATGTGTTGAATTCAAGAAAAATTGCATACATAGATTTATTTTTAACCGACTTCAACAGGAGGAGGTTTTCAATTCAACTGTATTTTTTTGTCTATTACTTCATAACCCTAGACTGGGTGAACCGATTTTGATGATTCTTTATTAGAAAGCTGGTGCTTCCTATGTGGTCCCGTATTAATTTCATTGGTATTGGATATAGGGCTCCGGAGATATTTAGATAACTTCTGAAAATCTATTATATAATGAATACAGAGCGAGATTTGAAGTCTATTTTGTTTTTCGTTATAAAAAGAACTTGTTACATTATTAGCAAAACAATATAACAAAAGAAACTAACTATACTAATTTTATAAAGAGGTTTGTTTGTTTTGTTTCAAATGTAAAAAATAGCGAATGAAAGAAATTGTAAAAAATAATTTTCTTTATTATGTAAATACTACGACTATAACGCTAAAATAATATACAATATATCTGAGATCAGTTATTAAAGTGTATTTAAAAATCCATTTTATATCGCTATTAACATTTGTTCAGGACTGTAAGAATATTATAACATAATAATATGTATGTTTCAGGACAGAAATGTAAAGATACTCCTTAAGAGTGGCTCTTTAAATAAAAAAAAATTGTCAATTACATAATCATATGTTTTGTACAAAATTCGACATAATTTCATTGAAGCCTCATGATAAAAAAGGATATATCCCCATGACTAGATAAAACAAATCCTAAAACAAAATACAGTGAAAATTATGGTATACATAAACATAGGACTTATTTATAGATGTTGATAAATGGCACTGAGATGAGCAAAATTAAACTAAGATATCACGGTGTATAAAACAAAAATATTAAGAATTAAATTATACATACATGAATAAATAATTATTACAAATATTTTGTAATATTGGCAACAGTAAGAGATATTTTTTCTTTATGTATAAAATATGTTATTTTTAAGAATGAAAATTTTGGTCAAGGCTAGTTGGTACGCAGATATTTAATATTCATTTTTAAATTACATCTGGCATAAAATGTCTATAACTGGGTTAATTATATGGTACTTTACATAAGAAATGTTGCGAATATTTTGCTAAATATGCAAAGACAACTCTTTACTATACACAAAATATTCTATATTGGATTATTTGTTGAAGAATAAAGTAATAAATAAGACGTGGACTTTAGGCTGTTTAATTTCTTAAAATATCACTTTTTTTAATCCTTATCAATGATATAGAATTGAAAAAAACATCTCAAATTCTAAAAACAAAACATGATTAAACAGTTTAAACAACTCAACAATGTTGTTTTCACCAGTTGTTTATTCTGTCTTGCATAAGCAAATAAGTCAGAAAATTGTTCATTTTAGAAGGCATTTGTATGTACCTGTGTGTTATACAGAAAAATAATGATATAGCATATACTCTTAAAATAATCAATCTAGTACACAGAATTATTTTCAATACATTGTCCAGACAAAAATAGTAAACAGTTCATGTCACTATACTTAAATACAAACTACAATTTAATCAATGCGAATAAAAAAAGAAAACAATTTTATTGTACTCTTGTACAATAATAATAACTAAGAGTATTGTACATACTGGGATACTTCTATTAATAAGGGAAATTAATTTCTTATAGAGTATGCTTCATTTTTATCCACTTCGCCATTGGGAAGTGGATGGCAATGCTATTGGCTGTCAACTTTGAAGTTGGAGTAATGACAGGCTCCATTTATTATAATTTCACTGATGCCTGTTGTAGGTGGGGTATGTGATGTAGATAAAGGCTCTATATGTGCAACAGTACTCATAACGGGTGTTGTATACAACTTTCCAGAATGCAGAGATGTTGGTTGACTTGAATGAGAATAAACAGTACATGTAGAGCCCTGTTCTATTCTTCCTTCTGTCATCATACCCATTTTTACTTCAAATATGACATCTTGTATCTTCTTCTTTGCAACAAGCAAATTTTTTTCACCCTTCAAGGACCTAAGCTCATTGGCTATATATTCACCAAAAACTGAAAATTCATCTCGGCTTCTTGGTGATGACGGATACACTATTTCAGATTTCACAGGATGTAAAATGTCTGTTCTCTGTATCTTATGTGGAGGTGATAAATTAACCAGTTTGCAATCTGGCATAGATGTATCATTGTGGTTAGTTAGGTTTCCATTTATTTCCGAGTTTTCTTCCTGAAATTCACAGGAAATCAAGTTTATGTTACTATGAAAACAATTAAAGCAATTTTTGATTAGATAATAGATTAATCAAAACTTAATGATAGTAAGTAAAACTTAATGGTAGGTATGGTGGTTTTTCTTTTGACATTAGTTAAGAGCTTAAGTTAAGCCTATATTGCATAAAGATATTTTGACTTTTTGACTTTTAAAATTTTTGATTAAATGCAAAAAAATTTGTAAAATCAATGAATTAAAAACAATATAATTTATATAGATATACTTACAGTTTGCAGAACTCTGTACGGCTTGTTTGAGTCTTTCAAGAAATGTAGATATTCGAAGGCGTACCAATTACTTATGTATCTTTCATTAGGGTCCTCTGCATTAGCGCGTGCTTCTTTTGCAGACTCCCTGTTGTACTGAGTTCTTAAGTGCTGAATTTTCTTAGTAGTATCGGGCACAGATATTCCTAATATATCAGAAATAGCGCGAAGCTCCTCTTTTCTTTTCTGTTTGTCCCTACGAGTATCGCAAAGTGAAGGATTCCAGAGGCTAGCGTTTACTTGCAATAACTCGATCAATCTAAGAGTTTTATCTTTGGACCACTCCATCGCTCAATCCGTTAGAATTGTTTGACAAAGTTTTATAGAAACATTGGATTTTTCTATCTTATCCTAACGAACCATGAACACCATTTTACGATCGATCGCGAGACCGTTTCAAGAAATGTTGCGTTGCATTGCGAATTGCGACGCGCATATTGATTTGTTAGTTGACTGATCTAGTGTTGTCATTAGGGGTATTACTAGAACATGAATTAAAAAAAAATACTTTTCTTTTTACTTAAATATGGGGAAACTATATTATTATAAAATGTTCACAAATGCACATATACCTAACTCTAATATGTTCGTGTTTTGTTCATTTTTCTAGTAGTTAAATCATAACGCCATCTGTTATCCCTTTTATTATTTATTTTATACACAATATTTACTTTAGCGCATAGTAAATCACTTTTTTTACCAAACAATCATAATTTTAAGTTATTAAGCATACTTGTATAGTTTCTTTGCGACTAATGCATTTTATATATAGCATCTACTGAAAATGAAGTACTGTCGCAGAACCGTAAATTTAACTCTGTTTGGTGCAAGAGGATGGAGGCGGATTGTTGACTGCGATTTCTATAAGTGTTAGCCTTATTTTGTTTCATCGAGCTAAGAAGGTAGAAATATAAATACTTTTACCAAATCACCGTAATTTCATTTTGCACATCAATAACACTGGTACTTATTTTATCACTTTTAATGAAACACCACTCTAACGATTTAATTTGTGATACTGATTGGGCAGCACTATCGCGTATACTTCTTGTTGACAGCCAGAGAAAGACGAAAAATCAGAAAATGCTTCGAGCAGCTTCATTTATTTCACATTTTTGTTATCCTTTATTTCACATTTTTGTTCTAGCGCATCAGGCCTACCGTTTTTATATAATATTTTTAACTAATCACTGATGTTATTATAAAAAAATATATTTAAGTAAACCTCAAAACCTTTATGTATCTGAATTGTAAATAGCTAAAGTAGATCACAATACTACATTAAAACACTACCGAACCAATCGCTTAATATACAACAACTATTAATCCAAAGAAGATATAACTGACAAAATAACTCAGTGGTTTGAATGTGTCCGCCTAACAGCTACGACTCAACAGAGAGAGAAGTACCTGCACACACAGAATATATAGCACAGCAATCCTTCCCACGATAGTGGGACTCCCTGAATGTCTGCTAACATTTTCTCTAACAATAATGATCGTTAACAATAGTTTTGGTAGAGCCATACCGCCTCTGCTATTGCACAAGTTACAAGCCTATCCCCGGTAGTACCATAATCTCACATAAGATTGATGAGAATTGTATCTGTATTTTTGCATACTGTCTAATGAGTGAGGTAAAGGCGGCCCTTTCTCCAATAGCAATCCTGTGTTATAAATGTCCAAGAGCTGAGATATTTACTTAACATTTGGTGAACTGCCTGCTCATTCTCCATTCTTCCAAAATAAACATACATACATGCATGCATTGTTAATGCAAACATTTAGAATACCTAAAGAAGAAAGAAAACTCCAAATCTAATTCATTCTCGTTTATTTACAGACTACAATGTGAGAAGTCTATCACATTATAAAACAAGTGACATCTAGTACATTATTTACACTATTTACAAAAATAAAACGCTTCCATTAAAAATGCACTTAACTCAAATTCGAGTCATTATTATAGTTCAGGTCTAAATATAATGAGGAACCAAGTTATATAACAATAAAAGTTAAAGGAACACAATGTTGCGTTCTAGATTATTTTCCCTTAAAATAAAACTTAAAACAATGTAAGTCACTTATACACAAAACAATCAGTTCATTTAATAAACCAGGTGTAAATTAAAGAAACTACCTTAAATATTTTTCGAAGTATTAGCTGCTACTGCATATTGTATTAAGTTTAATGTGAATTGTATGAGTAATATCATGAACTTAGATTAGATTTTAGACTTTGTCTATTACATAGAGAATATCGCACAGGTAGGGGTGATAAATAACTTAATTCTACAATAAAATCAAGAATGTCAATTGATTGAACATTAAATTAAGCTCCCATAAATAACAACAACAAAATAGTAAAACAGAATGTAAACAAATCAATTGTATTAAGATAAAAATGGTGCATATCAACACCTATATATACATAAAACATCATATTACATCCTTATGCGGTTAAATAAAATGAATTAATGGGAAATACTTTACATAAATAATACAAGAGATTCTTTATATGTGCTTAAACAAAAAGTTTACATTGAAAAGTACCATCTACACACACTAGGCAGGACTACACTTCCATAGTAATATAGAAAAATATATTTCTACATAGGATTTTTTATTATTACATTGGAAAAAGACAAACAAGTAATGACAGACACGCATATCACAATCAATTTTGTAAGGGTGTATAATTTATTTTACTATAAAAATCTACTGTACATACACGGCAAAAGTTTGATAATGTTCACTGGAAGGTATATCAACCAGTTGTTAATCATTTATTCAACAAACAATAGAGGTATCTATCTTCAACAATTGACAATAATTTGCCTATTCATGTACTTATTGGTGGTCTTTATCGCGTATGAGGTACCTAGGCGTACGTTAAATTTTGGTCGAGCCGGGCGCCCAATTTCCACCGGATCGGGCCCCTCGACACGGAAACGGGTCGCAGTTCAGCGAGCGCGTCGCACGTGGAGTTTTAGGGGTTAAATAAATAACTAGCTACCTACAACTGTACAGTGTTAAGAGACGGTGCAATGTTTACGTGACGTCTAGGGGGCGGGCGTCGCGAGACCTGAAGAAGCCCTTCTCGGTGCGGCACTCGCGTATCGTGACCGTCTGCAGGTTGACGGTGACGTCGGTGATGAAGATCTGGTCGGCGACCGGGGAGCGCGCCATCCAGTAGGCGGCACCGCGGCGTGGCGCGGGCGGGGCGGGCGGCGGCGGGGGCGCCTGGGCCGCGGGCGCCTCGCCCCACGAGTCCTCGACGTCGTGGTGCGGCGCGGGCTGGGGCGGGGCGGGCGGCGGCGGCGGGCGGGCACCCTTGGGCTCGGCGGGCGCCGCGGCCGTCGGCTGGGTGTCGGTGGTGCGCCGCTCGCGCTCGGGCGGCGTGTGCGCGTCCGCCTCCTCGGGCGAGTGGGGCGCGCGCCTGGGGCCGGTGCGGGGCGCGGCCGCCTCCGCCGCGGGCGAAGCGGGCGCCGCCGCCCCGCCGGGGGGCGCTGCCGGCGGCGGCGGCGGGTGCTGGCCCCGGCCGCCGTTCAGCTTCGACGAGTCGTGCCTCTTGGCCGGCGGGCTCATGGTGATGGTGACGCCGATCTTGCCGGACTCGCGCGAGAGCACCTCCGCCTTGCGCTTGCCGGGCGGCGGGTGGCGCTCCTCGGAGCCGCTGCGCGCCCTCTCCGCCGGCGAGTAGTCGCGCTCGCGCTTGCGCCCCTGCCGCCGCTGCTCCTCGCCGCGCTCGAAGCTCTGGATGAGGCGCGGGTCGAGGATGTTCTCCTCCGGCTCCCACGTGTTGTGCTTCGGCTTCCACCCTTTCCATTTCACGTAGTACTCCACCTTGTTCTGGAAGCAGAGGGGGCGACGGTTACAACAGAAGGAATTTGAATGAGCGAGTCGTGGCGTAGTGTCGGGCGTAGTGAGTACGAGTGGACCGTTGCGCTGGCATGGCGTGACTGGCCGCCGGCGAGCAGGCGAGCACGCGAGCCGGAGGGGGCTCGAGCACGCACTCGCCGATTATTCGCGATACACGCGCGGGAAAGGGTTAACTTGTGCATATTTAATATAAAATATTAATTACTAACTTTTTTAAGTGTCGGCACGGAGTAAATAATTTTGTCATATTAGTACGGAGTCGCGCTATGTTGTAACAAAAAAGGCTTGAACATCGGTGTGGCAGGTCGAACGGCGCGTCGCGTTCGCGAGTTCGATTCAGGCCACCTGCCCCGCCAGCTGTTGCGGCTATCTCCCCTGGGATCGTACCCGAAATATGCCCTCACCGCAACGCTACATAAGCACCGTTATTCTGCGCATGCAACAATCACATATTCCAACATGCTCGGAATTGTTGAAACGACATTTTTGATGTTAAAGGATCTGTTATCTCGGTAATTTATATAGTTTAAAATATTATCTAAGTACACAAGAATATTTCTACCATGTCGAGATCTTTGTAATTGTGAAACAGCTAACAATACTACCTATTCTAGTTTATAAAAACAAGACAAACATAAGACGATTTTTTTTATACTAGTTCAGTCAATTTACCCAAATTCATCACCAAAGAAACCATTTATTATGCCTACTTTATTTTATTTCATTGTTCCAAATCGAGTAAAAGCCCGGGGCATTTAAATTAGAAATGAAATATTTCATTTATCAGGATAGATTTAAATTAACCTTATCATAACGATGTAGAGTTCTAAAATTCGTCAAACACGGTTGGAGTGGTACAGCACGCCATATAAATTAAAAAGGACGCGCTAGCTAATTGGTTCAAAACAACAATAAATATGAAATAAATAACCGGCAGCCAGAACTATCGCAGTTGTGGACATAGAAGTCGCTTGATAACATTTATGCAACAAAGTCATTTATATTTACGACAATTAAAACAATTTTATTTACAGATAAAATAACAGCCTATACATGTCCCACTGCTGGGCAAAGGCCTCCAGAGGGTATCAGGGCATAGTCCACCACGCGGCCCCACTGCGGATTGGCGGACTTATCTTCGAAAAATATTTTTCTTTTGTTATTATTTCGAAAATATGAAGGTTTCCTCACGATGTTTTCCTTCACCGCGGAGCACGTGATAAGTCAGCACTTAAAGTTGAAAACTTCATTGGTGTCGGCATCAATGAAGTTCAAGAATCGAACTCAGGTTGCTCGAGTATTGAATTGATGACGAGCGCCCGGACACTGAGCTATCACGGCTCCTTCCATTATATATCCATTTATAGATAATTAACATCATTTTACAAGAATGCCAATAGCATCTCAGATCGTCATCATTTTGTCATCATACTTAGTGTAGGTTTAACATTTACCACCTAGGTTGAGTCGCAGCTTACTATTAATTAGACCAGTGGTATGGATTCCAAGAGAGGACATTTTAGCGGGCATTGTGAATGATCTAAGTGTATGAATCGTATAGATAGTCCGTTATTTAGAGGCGAGCAGTACTCGACTGAAGAGAGAATTACGATTGAACAAAAGGAATTGAACTGCTCAAGATGTTTTCAAGGTAGATAATAATAAAATATTTATTTCTCACCACAACTAAGAGCTAAGATATATGAACACAATTAAATTAAGTATCAATCAGTGAACTAGATAAAAAAAGTAAAAAAAAAAGTAACAGCCTATACATGTCCCACTGCAGGGCAAAGGCCTCCTCTATATAGAGGGTATCAGGGCATAGTCCACCACGCGGCCCCACTGCGGATTTATTGGACTTCACATATTTTCGAAATATATTTATTTTGTTATTATTTCGAAAATATGCAGGTTTCCTCACGATGTTTTCCTTCACCGCGGAGCACGTGATAAGTCAGCACTTAAAGTTAAAAACTTCATTGGTGCCGGCACCGGGGATCGAACTCAGGTTGCTCGAGTATATTGAATTAAAGGCGAGCACCCGGACACTGAGCTATCACGGCTCTATCAGTGAACTAGATAGAATTACAAAAATGTAATGTGCATGTTTCGAAATTCGTTGATCGACTCAACTATCATTGTTAGTCGTTCCTTGGTGAAGGTAGTGACCAGTCTCTCATCAACTTCCGTAATAATTGCTAGCTAATCATAAGAGAAAGGCCCTTAAAAGGAAATTATTACTCACTATATATATCCAAACTGTTAACCAGTTTTCGCCTGTGGATGTTTGCTTTGCAGAAATACTTGAAACAATCTCTTTAATGCGTACAATTAAAAAAAAGTCTGTCAGAAATATGTCTACAATAATGTATTTTTATAGACTACTGATTACAAGGAAATGTATTCTGTTATAGCTTATAATTATGACTCATAAATTAATGATAGGTACCATTCGTCTTCGGTGACGTTAGAGGCAACGATACACTTTACAATATTATGAGATTTTATCAATTTATGGCCGGTTTCAAAATTCTATCTGACATTAGTTCCATAAAACTTACGTCAAATTCTATCTCCAGTAACCAAATCTACAGATAGATCAAATGCTTTAAAGCGGCCATTATTTCCATCGAAAAACATCTACCATCTGTCCCAAATAAAAGCAGAAACACCACATTAAATTATATTCCCGAACCTTTTGCCAACGTAATTGCTAAAGTTAATTACATCGAAAGCTAAATTGCTGTAGGCTCATAAAGAGGGGCATGGTTCATTTTACAGCTAGACATGAATGTAAGTGACACAAAGACAAAGCATACAAAGCGGTAGTAAGAAAAGACTACCATCATATTGTAAAACTTACAACGCAAATTCGCAAAACGAGAAAATATTTTGTGGCGAGTGTAAGCCCAAAATAATCTTCTAGCGACACCTGTGGCGCCCTCCGAAAGCGAATTAATGAAACAAACAAAGCACTCCAATATAAGACCGCATTTTATTGGGGTGCCCCATTCGATGAGGCTGCACTGGGCGGATGTAATATGAACGTTACGCCGTTGGTATAAAGCCGTTTTCGGTATACCGCGATAAGCACAAAGGGCATTATAGAGGTGGGTTGAACGTTCCAAACCCTCTCGTCTTATTGGTTTTGCCTATAAAGGGCGATCGCAACTACGGCGCGAGCGACGTGACTTTGTCGTGACGTGCGTTATTATTTTTTTTTATTTAATTAAAATTCTATGAATGGTACTTACTTTAGAATAAAATTCAATTTAGACATAATATAGAGAATGTTACTCGCAATTGACGAAAAAATGTGTAACATACAGTTGCTTACAAAGTTATTATAAAGGCGCACAGGCCAGCAGTCGATTATACCGGAAGCTGGTGGTGATAATGAACAGTTTTAATAAAACTGAACTACGTGACATAATCACTAATTATGCGATTTATTTTCGAAAGTTTTAAATTATAAACTCGTATTCACGTATAATTGTAAAGATATACACGCAATGCTCTGTAACCGCGATGATATGGAAAAAAATTAACATAAAAAAACGGAAAATAAACAAAAGGCAAGACAAGTGTGAAAAAAAACTCATTAGAAGACCCTGATCGAGTGACCTTTAAACAGCGACAGCAATACGCATACAATGTTGCGCTGATCAACATCCAATCGACCAAACAGCAACTCATTTCCGAAAGCAACAAAAAACCAACGAACGAAAGAAAAGAAAAGACTGAAAAAAAAAGGATACGCTGGGACGTGCGGGCAAGGTGAGGTCGTTCGGACGCCGCGCGCCGATTGGCCGACGGGCGGGGGGCGTGCGGGCCGAAGGGAGAGGGACTCCGCCCCCGCGCCGTCGCCCTCCACCCCCGCGCGCGCCGGGCCCGGCCTGCCACGTTACGAACGCCGCCACTATGGCCCCTATCGCTTGGGTATAAGGTGCGGAGTCGCGCGCGCTGGGCGTACCGGCCGTCATGGTGCACCCGATGGCTGTGATCGCGCCATGGGCGGACCGCGTCTCGGGAGCACGGACGCCAATTAACGGCGGTCGGAAGGCGCGCGGCAATTAGCGTCGGGCGTCGATGGTCGCTACGAGCCGCGCCGCGGGTCGCCCGGTTCGATGCCGCGGGTGTTTGTATGACTTGGACGCGGTTTTTTTTATTGCGTTGATTGCAAGCGATTAACATAAGACTAATGAGTAACGTCTCTTGGGCATCGTGCGGGTACATGGAGTAAGTAGATTGTCGGTTAAGTATCACTTTATAGGAGGGAAGAAAAAACTATTATTTGTTGTATACGTGAAATAATTCAAACAGTCACTTCCGATCGGACGATATACTTAGGATTCTTTACAAACGTTGGGAAACCATTTTTTTTAACTTACGGGCAAAAAAGCATGTGCCACGAGGAAAAAGAACTTTACTACTCAATGCAACGTTTTGTACATATTTCGACATTCTGGACATTTTTCAGAGCCAACATGTTAGTAAACGTGCTCGCTCTACTGCTTGCTACAGGTACGACGAACATCCGCAGTCTGTTTTATTAGGACGAGTTCAGAGCAAAATTTCTTTCTTATATTTAGAATTGTTTGTTAAATGTCTCATGATATACCACTAGCGATGTCTCTAATTTAGATTAGTCTGGCGAATAACGGACAAAACAGATCTCATCCATCATTAAATTGTAACGGCGAAGCATTGAGACATAGTGACGTTAACCTTTCCAGCAGCTAAATTTAGGAACATGTACCTATTTAACCAATAAGGGTATTATAATCGTAATTAAGAACTATGTATAAATATTGCATTGACTTCCTATAACTCAAGTAGACTGCCCTATTTTCGTCAACGCATCTGGAACCCTCGGGTGTTGCAGATGTCCATGGGCGGCGGTATTCGCTTAACATCAGGTGAACCGTGTGCTCGTTTGGCAAGTTTTCACATTAAAAAAAAAGACT